CCCGATCGTTATCACTTATCATCATACCGATAACCCCCTTCCATCAACTAGTTCTAACTAGTACGTAGGTACCGCAGTGGGTGCCTTAGTCCTTACTAGCCTCGGAGAACCGCCAAAAAGCCTTGCCAGAGGAGGGACGACCAACCACCTCCCAGTGATGGTCCAGCTCCCTCGATCATTCTCCGCCGCCCAACTGTTCCAACATCTTTCTTGTCAGCTGCAGCATTTCAATCCTTGCTAACACCACCGTTTCTCTCCCACTCGTTTCCCCCCTCTTTCTCACACGGGAACTCTCTTATGACAACCATGTTCTGAATTATCCTCTCGCTTTTTCATCCAAGGTTTCAGGGCATCAACTCTGTCTCTGCGAGCCTATCGTGCTATCAGACACCGTGCCCTCTCCCACAACTGGTCATTAATTTCCTGAAGGCTGGTTGTCTTGCTCTGCACCGTTCAAGACTCGCTTCGTGTCGTCACCGCATTAGGTGAATAGATCAACGGTTGTTTACATATTCCCTAAAGTTAGCGATTTGACCCTCCATCATCGAGTCAAGACGCGTCTCTCGCCTCAGTCCCACTCTCCGTTTACCTTCCAGCGAACGTTGTCAGCAGCAAGAAATTCAACATGGACCAACTAGATGCCAACAATGATCTGGATCATCGAGCGACCAACAGTACTATTGGCCGATTTTCCTTCGCTCCTGCTACTCGAACGACTGTCGTGACTACCACAACCACAACCACTACCACATTTCCTCCCCTCGTCATCAAATCTCCTCGAGGGACAAGGGACCTCGATCCTAAGCTATATCCCCTGGCCTCTTCTCCCACTCCTACGTCTTTGAGGAACATCAAATTCGAACTCGGCGGGAAAACCGTCGTGTTCAACGAGCCGGAAGATGCAACAGTGGCTATCAAAGAGGTACGGTACTTCCAAATCAGATCCATCGGAGCGTGCCTTCACTCTGTTTCCGTTTACTTACATGCGTACTACATTACATGTCCCGAACGTTCTGTCGGCTAATTTGATTCTTACAGGTGAACGAGACAAACAACGCGTTGAAAGCCTCGAATGGTTTTGTACAATCCGTCACTTCATACACTACTTCAGATAATGCCCAAACCTCCCGTCGTTTAGCATACGCTCGATTATCCAGCCAGCCGTCCAACCCGTCCAGCGCGAAACGTCGGCCAGCATCAGTCGTAGATTCACACCAATCTTCCACAAGGCTACGTCCAGGTAGACTTCCGTCGGAGCCCTCATTTCGTCAGATCCGGCCTCATCTGTCTTCAGCCACATACACGGCTGGCTTGGCGACTCCGGAGACCGAGTCCAGCGGTTACAACTTGAGTGACTATGCGATGCCTCGAAGAAGAGTACATAGTGCGGCCATACCTCGCAGAGAGACCTTACTGCGCTCGCCTCTGTCTTCAGAAGTTGAAAGCCAGGAAGTGTTGCAGGATCCCGGTGCAGAATCGGTATTAGGAAAAGAAGAACTCCGCGCACTCCGCGCTAAGGCAGCTATTTGGGAGAGAGATCGACATCTTAGTCGACATAGGGACAACGCGTCCTCGAGGCCGGCACCCCAACTTGCTACTCCGGCGGTAAATAGTGACGGAGCTGCGGGCGTGAACTCTGCAAGCCAAGGCACTGACTACGACGGGTCGGAAGAGTCGTTTCAGCAGGCACCAACGGAACCTGCATCCCAGATTTCGGCTATTGAAAATCTTGTTGCCCACGACATGTGCTTACCCAGCCCCAGCTTGTCGCCTGTGGCTGCCCTGAATGCGATGAATGTGGATTCCTCATTTGAGTCGGCAGAAGACCAAGAGATGGATACGGACTCAAGCCTCGATAATAATGCCTCCCGACTTTCAAACATACGGCACTTGGACGATTCAAAGAACCATGATTTGTCTCCTTCCAGGTCTGGAAACCTGCCGGGCGCTACGGAAAACCGTCAGACTTCGTCTTTGCTGGACATACCCAGTGTACTAGACTTTTTTGACTCGGTTCCCGAAGAACTGAAAACTTACCTGATGTATCAGTTTTTGAGGAGGTGCCCCAAGCCAACACTGCATTTTGTGGCCGACGTCGTGAATCCAGCTTTGAAGTGCGATTTTCTCGCGCTTCTTCCTCTGGAGCTTAGCCTCAATATTGTCAAGTATTTCGACGTTCAAACCATGTGTCGTGCAGCACAAGTGTCTAAAAAATGGAGGCATATCATCAATTCCGATGAGAAGACTTGGAAAGATCTATTTGACAGGGATGGATACGTTCTCACGGATGGTGAGTTGGAACGTGCAATCAAAGAAGGTTGGGGATGGCAGTTTCCGCATGGGGATGACGACTGGGAAAAAGATCTGAGTTCGACTGCAGTCATAAAAGCTGAACCAGATTGCGCTCCGGGGTCCGCTTTCTCTTCCTTGCCAGGAGAATCCGGTGAACGGGCTCTGTCTGTAAGTCGTCGACCGAAAAGGAAGGCCACTCGCATCTCGGGTCGCAAATATGCGAAGAGAAAGATTTCCTCTAGTAATACCGATTCCTCGGATTCCTCAGGTTGGAGAAACGGAGTAACTGCAACTGAGGGACCATATGCAGCCGCGAATGCTGCAGCTGCAGCTGTCCCATACCCAGAAATTGGCCTACCGTCCCTCAGGGGTCTTCATTTGTTCAAGTCCCTCTACCAGCGCCACCATTCGATTCATAAAGGCTGGATGAAACCCAATGTGAAACCGAAACACATTGCCTTTCGCGCTCATGATCGCCACGTAGTTACTTGCCTCCAGTTTGACACCGACAAGGTTCTGACAGGAAGTGACGACACGAACATTAACGTCTACGATACAAAGACGGGCGCCTTGAGAGCGACTCTGGAAGGCCATGAGGGAGGGGTTTGGGCCCTGGAATATCACGGCAACACTCTTGTGTCCGGATCCACAGACAGGTCGGTGAGAGTTTGGGATATCGAAAGGGCAAGATGCACCCAAATTTTCCATGGACATACCTCGACAGTGCGTTGTCTGCAAATTGTTCTACCAGTCCAAGTTGGTAGCAATGCTGACGGCACACCCGAAATGATGCCTAAAGAACCAATCATCATAACTGGTTCCCGCGACTCTAGTTTGCGAGTTTGGAAACTCCCGAAACCAGGTGATCCGGTGTACTACCAGAGTGGACCCCATGCCGATGATACCGATTGCCCTTATTTCATCCGTGTCCTTACTGGTCATCAGCACTCTGTTCGTGCGATCGCTGCGCACGGTGACACTTTGGTTAGTGGGAGTTATGATTGTACCGTGAGAGTGTGGAAAATATCGACTGGAGAGACTATTCACCGACTTCAGGGCCATACACTCAAGGTGTACAGCGTTGTACTTGACCACAAAAGGAATCGATGCATCAGCGGTTCAATGGACAACACAGTCAAAGTGTGGTCTCTCGATACTGGCTCGATCATTTACAATCTAGAAGGTCATAGTTCACTTGTGGGTCTTCTTGATTTGAAGTGCGACCGTTTGGTCTCTGCGGCTGCAGACTCTACCTTGAGGATCTGGGATCCTGAAACTGGTCAATGCAAGAGCAGGCTGAGCGCGCATACTGGTGCCATTACCTGCTTTCAGCATGATGGCCAGAAGGTGATCTCGGGATCTGATCGGACGTTAAAGATGTGGGATGTGCGGAATGGGGAGTGCGTTCGAGATCTTCTCACGGACTTGAGCGGTGTATGGCAGGTCAAATTCAACGATCGAAGATGCGTTGCTGCAGTACAGCGCGATGCTCTGACGTATATTGAGGTAAGTCGTGGAAGTATCTCTCAATTTGCCACCATCATTGTTAACCATCTTCAGGTCCTCGACTTTGGGGCTTCTCGCGACGGTGTCCCGGAGGATCAGTTGGGGAGACGGATAGTTGTCAACCGATGGGGACAGGAGATCGGTGACAATGCTGACGAAGATTACGATCTATCTGACGGTTGACACCGTTGATTCAGACTACTGGGCTCGTCAGTGCTTCGCCAGCTGGCATGGCTCGGAGCACTTCGGTCACCAGATCAGCCAACGTTTGCCACGTTTATTCTTTTTTCCTGCTCTACTTCCTCTTCCTCTCTGCCTTTCAAGCCATGAAATGTTTAGATACCCTTTATCCACAGACTTGTTGTTTATCGAGAGGCTTTGCATAGCGTGGTCAGCATCCATTGTCATGCTGGGAAATGACGGAAATGGCGTTTTGACTTTCGAAAACAATGATTTACTAGCCCCAGCTCGCTTCATTTACTCTCTTCCATCATTTTTCATTCATATCTCTTGTTCCATGTTCAAATGTCCTTCCTATATGCATTATGATCAATTGTTGTTGTGTGAGTTGGGCAGACCCGTTTTGATGCACACGGCGCTTGACTGTTTTCTCCTGCTTCCATTCGTGCTTCAGCAGGCGAAAATTTTGTTCATAGACTCTCTATGACTTCTTTTTCACGATCATTGAAAAGTGAATTGAATTCTTGCATTTATATTCATAAGGTGCAGTTGTACTATCTCATGCGGTAGGGCTTTCTTTTGCTGGAAGAGGTAGCCTTATAAACGACGAACTTGAGTACACCATCACCTGACGGATCGCCCTCGGAATATTGTGCTGAAACAAGCTTGAGCCCGTTGGAATATTGGCGATCAATCTGACTTTATCAGTAGTATAACGACTTGCCGAGTCTAAAAAAGACAGGATGACACCCGTGGTATTCTGGGACACATCAGTTGTCGACTTCATTGTGTGGCATACCCAGGAACCGGGAGAAGGTCCTGCGCAAGGCAATTCGCAAGATGTAATTCAATTGACAGGACATAAGACAAGGAAGGGGCCTGGCAGAAATGAGAGTTCAAAATTGCTCATTGGCAGGTGCGCAATGGCTTGTCTATAGAGTATGCGGTATGAGAGCGCTTGAGATTCCTCATATTCTCGAGGACGGTCTGACATTTGAACGAACACACGACGTCCCAATCGATCATGGTGGAGCTGCCGAAGCGCCTCGGACGGACGAGCTGGACGGTATAGACTCAGCTTTCACTTCTACATTGCCATCGAACCCAGCAGCAGATAAGATGGCCCATCGTATGGCGCTGATGCCTAGGAATTGCCCCGGTCCAGTAGGTGTTTCTGCACTGCATGTGAGAATTTCACCCAAAGCGCCAGGGCCTTCGACACGACCGTCCGGTTGAACTATTGGCCTGAGATGTTGAAGCAGGCTTCTTAGCGCAGCGACATTGGCCACGGATGCGCCGCTCTTAACCTGCTGTTTTCTCTTTGCTAATACCTTGTCGACTTTCGATAGGATAATCTGGTGGGGGATGGCGTATTTTCGGAATAGCATGAGAATGTCCTCGTCTTTCTTTTTGATCCCGTGGAGGCTGTCTATTAAGATAAATGCCCGACGAAGCCTACATGCCGCGGCCAAAGTCAGTACCAGTTGCCCATCATCAATGGACAGGAGCGACTCACTGGCGCCGTCCCTGAAGGTACTTCAAAATCTCAATACCCCATTCCGTCCTGCTTCCCTTTCCATACCCTGGCATGTCCAAAAGGACAATTTTGGATTCGCCGCCCTTGGTCCCTCCAATCCCGAATGCGTTCATCTCCCGAGTTCTGCCAGGTTTAGATGAAGTCCAGCACATCTCCTTCCCCATTATGGCATTGAGTAACGAGCTTTTTCCGACGTTCGAACGGCCAAGGAAAGCCACTTCGGGTTCGAGCGACGAGAGGGGTGTTGTGCGGAATTTGCTGGCGGACCATAATTTGACTGGAGAATGACGCGATGGAGTGAAGAACTTATCCGCGTAGGAAAGCTGGGATTCATTCGGTATTCGTGTATCCCAGTAGTATGAGAGGTCTGACGGCGTCAGATCGCGAAGCTGGAGTTTGGGTGCATTTGGAGGATTCGATGGCGCAATAGCTGTTTGTGAATTTCGGAGAGTGAGAGCGGTTGAGAAACTTCTGCGCATACAGGCCGTACAGACGTAGAGTCTAGTCTTCATTATGATGTTGATTTTTTGTCTGTAAGGTGAGATCCGGCTTGCAGAAAAGTATCATAGCTCAAACATGATGCTGTCGAATGAGAAAGTGATCTGAGTGGGGATCCAAGGAGAGTCTCCGCCGATACGGGCCCCGCCGCATCAGTGCGATAAGCAAGCTCCGGGGTTCGTTCCAGAAGCCCAACTCTACGTCAATTCTGTTCTGGTCACCTATCCGGACAGATTCGACTATTGTGCGAATATAATAGTCGCCATTCACACTGTTCTGGTTTCTAGTACCCGAGGAAGGCTGAAAATAGCTTTCGTATTGCGCCCAACATGATCAACGCCGTCCTCGTCTTCAACAATAATGGGCAACCGCGCCTCACTAAATTCTATACACAGATCGTGAGTGGCCTGGACATCGCGGTTCTTAAATGAGATCGATCGGAAATAAACTTGACTGACATCTGCCTCTGCGTCGCGGTTAGGATACGCAAACGAAACAGTCACTGATTGCCCAAATATACGATTTGGTGGCACAGCGTCCGCCGAGTGCCTGCAACTTCCTACCACTACCTCCATTGCTTTCGCAAGGCGCGCGTTCAAGCGCAGCAAATGGTCCTTCCGATGCTCCTACGCAAGTCACCTACCGCACCTATGCCACCTTGTCCTTCATTATGATATCCACATCCACCGAGTCACCGCTTGCGCTCATCGATCTAATTCAAGTTTTCGTGGAAGCACTGGATCGGATTTTTGAGAACGTTTGCGAGCTGGATCTTATCTTTGGGTTCGAGACAATGCACGCGGTGCTCAGTGAGATGATTGTCGGTGGTGTCGTGGTGGAAACCAATATCGACAAGATTGTTGCAGGCGTGCGAGAACAGGAAGGCAATCTAGGCAAAAAGAAGGCTATTCAAGCAGCCAGCTCCGGTCTTGGGCGAGGAGGGCTCTCGGGGCTTGGTGCTTGGCGTTGAATATCGTGATTCCCATATTTGTTTGCTCGAGTGCTACAGGGCAACGGGCAATTTGGTTGCATCTACGGATACGGCGTCTGGCTTGGGATTCGCATTCTGTACATATGATGGCTATGAGATGACTTTAAGTGTCCCCAGACATAGATAATTGGGAACAATATCCGATTCAATACCTAGAAGGACTCAATCACTTTTTGTTAGGTCAGACCTCTCTAATTACGCCGCACTCGATATTTGTTGCCTTAGGATACAGTCATAAATTCAGGCAGCAATCGAGCTACGAAAACCCGAAGGGTTAACCCTATATCATGTGACCAAGGCCAGCAAACAGAACCCGGCCCGCGGTTTTTCCGCACTAGCGCGACCCACAAACGCAACGACGGCTTTTCTTCTCGATCATCAAAAAAGAGCTTCAACTTTTTCTTTCTTCCCTTGTCTGTCAATCCCGTCACCCAGCACCGTTGCGGAACTCAGTCGACAAAATGGTAAGCCCTTGATATCCAATTCGAATCTCTCTTTGTAGAGCTGTCGATCATTTTGCGACATGGCGTGAGGCAAGAAATTGTCTACCTCATTTCGCGAGGGTCGTGGCATATTCCGTTGGTCGCACAATTCTCTCTTGAGATGCGTGCACCGGCGATGATTTGGCTGGAGTCACAGAAGTTGTCTTTGGACTCTTTCTCGTGTTCTCTCTAGAGTTCAAAGAAGATACAGCAATTGGTGGACAACTCGCTGATCTTCTTTTCTCAATGACAGCCTCCTAAGTCCGGAAAGAAGGCCGCCCCTCTCCCCTACCCCCAGGGCAAGGCTGGTGTTAGCAAGAAGGGCGCTAAGGTATGCAGTCATTCCTCAGACTTCTGGAAAGAATTGCTTTCGCTAACAACTTCTAGAACCCTCTCATCGAGCGCCGCCCCCGCAACTTCGGTATTGGCCAGGACGTCCAGCCCAAGCGCAACCTCTCCCGCTTCGTCAAGTGGCCCGAGTATGTCCGCCTTCAGCGCCAGAAGAAGATTCTGAACCTCCGCCTGAAGGTTCCCCCTGCCATTGCTCAGTTCCAGAACACTCTGGACCGCAACACCGCTGCCCAGACCTTCAAGCTCCTCAACAAGTACCGCCCTGAGACCAAGGCCGAGAAGAAGGAGCGTCTCCACGCTGAGGCTACCGCTGTTGCCGAAGGCAAGAAGAAGGAGGATGTCTCCAAGAAGCCCTACCACGTCAAGTACGGTCTCAACCACGTTGTCGGCCTCGTCGAGAACAAGAAGGCTTCCCTTGTTCTGATCGCCCACGACGTTGACCCAATTGAGCTGGTTGTCTTCCTTCCTGCTCTCTGCCGCAAGATGGGTGTCCCCTATGCCATTGTCAAGGGCAAGGCTCGTCTCGGTACCGTTGTCCACAAGAAGGTAAGATAAACAAACCGCATTATTTATATCATGTAACGTACACTAACGTCGCACTTTCAGACCGCCGCTGTCCTTGCTCTCACCGAGGTTCGCGCCGAGGACAAGGCTGAGTTCTCCAAGCTCCTCTCCACCATCAAGGAGGGCTACACCGACAAGTACGAGGAGTCCCGCCGCCACTGGGGTGGTGGTATCATGGGCTCCAAGGCCGTTGCCCGCATGGAGAAGAAGCGCAAGGCTGCTGAGGCTGCCGTCAGAGTTTAAAGCCTGATCAATTTCATTGACGGTTTTTTCCGGACGACATTATGACTTCGCGGTCCTTTTCTTTTTATTCTCTCTGCTGGGGATGGATGTAATCAAAAGTTGAAACACTTTGGGAAATGGGAATGGTGTTCTGAGGCTCATATTGACTTGTTGACGGCATTTTAGCTTAGATGGGTGGAGCACTCCGGCACCCTCTCAATTCCAATCCATATTGATGGCCCACCTTGTTTTTTTTATGTATACGTCGCAGATACCCATGAATGCATTTTCAGACATCAATTAGCACACCATGCGTAGAGCATAATTGACGTTGAGCATTCATGCGTATGATAACTGTCTGCAAAGTAGAACAAGGCTTCAGCTAGCTGGTGTTACTAGCCTGTACCATATCTGCTTTTGTGTGGAACTTTATTCCTATGCTGTACAGCCTTTCTTCCCTCCGGGTCAATCATGACCGTGAAAGGAATAGAATCATAGACGTCCGGATTCATAACCCTCCTTCGTGAGCCCATTATTTTTCCATGTATACCTAATTTCCAACGACCCGTATCCATAAAATACAATCCGCGCGCAAGCATGCTGCAAATTTATACGTCAGAGGCATGAAAATAGAAGAAGCAGACCCCGACAAATGCAATCAAATGACTGTTTCCCTAGCACCACAGCTGATCCCCGAACAAGCGGCCGAAAGAAGTGCAAGGGGAGGAGCGACCTCAGAATTGGAAAAGAGAAAGAAGAACGCCGGGTATTGGCCAGTACCAAGGTCAAAAAGCCTGCTGTCATAAGAAAGAAGAAAAAAATCATGTCATGGGATATAGAATCGAGAATCATTTATGGAGCCGTTAGCGTTGCGCAGGGCCTCGCGACAGACCTTGTCTTGCCTAGTAAGATCGATCAGAGATATGTCCACAAATGAACAGAGCTTAAGAACGTACCTTCATTTGTTCAATTCTCGCCTTGAGTTGGCTGGTGACTTCTGCGGCTCTCTTCCAATTTTCCGCGGGTTCTGAACTCCTCATCGGTTGCTCCTCTCCGGAAGCACTACCAGAGCCTGGTATGGACGATCTTGTTGGACTGCCCATACCCGAGTAGTTAGTTCCGAAGGAAGGGCTGAGCTTCCGTCGACCAAGGCCTCCGTCTCTGCTACCGCGTCCTGGTGACTCCAGATCGGTGTTTTCTTTCTCCTCACTTGGGCTGGCAGACACGTAGCTCCGAGGTCGCCCACCATCAAAGCGACTTCCCATGTGCAGGCCGGTTCTGGGAATGGCACCATAGCCGTTGGTACCGGTTTCATGATATATCGACGTCTCCGGTACTGGCAAATTCATATTATCCGAAAAGCCGTTGGGAGGACTCTGAGCGCTGGCCCGGAGAGCTCTGGCCAATTCACGCTTTAGACGATCAATTTCCCTCTGCTGCTTCTGAACCGTCTGCTCAGCCGCTTCTGCATCACTCCTGGCTCGAACCAACTGGGTTTCCTTGGCTTTGATACTTAGAACATCTCTTGTATGATCCTCAATGAGTTGTGCATTTTGATCTTGAAGCTCCGTCACTTGCGAGTTGAGTCGAGTTCTTTCAGACTTCAAGTCCTCAATCATTCGAAGGAACCTTTCTCTTTCAAGGCGCAATTCGTCGAGTTCAGCCCTTTCGATGGCAGAAATCCCGCTCACTTGGGGTGGCGCAGCTGGAGCTGGAGCTGGTTCAGGAGCAGCTGATGGTTTGGTTATGGGACGGCCTGCAAGCCCTCTCCCAAGACCAAATTTCGGTGCAGCTGGCGCGGGAGGCTGTTCTTCCGAAGGGGGGGAGATGACCCGACGCTGTGGGGAAGCAAGGCCACCAGGACCACCAAGCTTTCTTTGAAGCTTGAGTCCAGCGCCTGGAGTGGGAAGTCCACCAGGCTTGGGAACCCCACCCAACTTCGAAGGGATCGACCTTGTAGCGGGTTTTGGAGGAGAAAGGGTCGGTGCAGGCTCCTCTGGTGGAGGCGCCGCAGCAGCTGGAGCAGGCTTCTTCATTCCCAGAGCTGGCTTCTTCCCTCCAACAACCTTCTTGCCGGCGGCAGGCACGGCCTTTGGCGGCCCAACGATGGGCTTCGGTCTGTCTTTCGCTTTTACCTCGGCGATCTCATAAAATTCCTTGATCTTTGTCTTCCTGATATCATCAAGTCCGTCCAGGTAAGGGTTCATCGCACGCTCGCCCATGATTTTCATCAAGGTGCCCAAAATTTCAGCTCCTCCTGCACGGTTGACTTCAGTGGACTCAGTCAGCAATTTTGTGGCAGCATCGGCAATGGCTTTCACTTCAGCTTTCGATGGAACATCTCTAGTGGTTCGGAGGCAGCGAATCAGGAATTTCAGGGTTTCCTGCTTCACCTGTGGGTTCTTATGTTTGAGAAATTCTAGGATCTCCTCTAAACAATCCGATAGATTCGTCGATGCAAAGACCGCATCCAAAGCTTGCCCCAGAGCATCTGCGACGGTCTGCTTTTTCTCCTTCAATCGTTCCATGATAGGCGGCATGATCGTGGATCGGTGTTTCGCGAAGCCCCCCCGCAGACCCTTTGCGAGGAGATCGATACAGTTGGCGGCAACAGTCACGACTGCGACATTCGCGTCTTTCATGGATTTTGCAAGACCTCGAACAATATCGTCAAACGGCCCGTCCTTGATTCGCGGAACGTTCAGTGCAGTATACAGAGCGTCCAGCGCCTCCTTCCTGTCTTTCCACTTCGATGATCCCAATTGCTCATTAAAGTCCTTGGGTATTTTGGGGAAGACGTCGACTGGCTCAGCGAGATCGAATGCATCTACCTCGCCATCATCTTCATCTGCGTAGACCTCTCCAGCTTCTGCGTCGCCATCACCGCTTTCTGGAGCAGCACTAGCTGCAGCCATCGCGTCCTGTTGCGCTTTTGTCAATCTCTCTTGCTTTGGCGCCGGTTCCTGCTTGACGCTTTCGAACAGCTTTTCGAGATCCTGCTGCTGAACAGGTTTAAGCTCTCCCCAGAACAGCGGTTTGATAGCCTCTTTCAGCCATCGATACAGTTCGACTGTGAGATTCTGCGCTTCCGCACGGACGTTTTTATCTGCGTGCCCGAATACTTTGGGCAAGGCCTTCAGGACCGGTTTGGGGTCGACAATCTTGCAGCCGAAGTTGTGATAGATGGCTTTCAATCCGCTTAATGCCGCTGCAATCACCTTGGGTACTTTGTGCGACAAGATAGGGACTATTTCCTCAATAACCGGATCTGCCTTATCTAATTCGACACAGAGTAGAAGAGCTTCAAGCGCATTTGCTTTGGCCGCCGGTCTGGTTGAAGGAAGTCCTTTTTCGACAATAGGACCTATCGTGGATCCGCGAGTTCTGCGCAAACCCCTGTCAGCTATATCCAAAGTCGAACCGGGGTGAAATGTCAGGCTCAGTGCTAAGGCTAGACATACCGTGTGCAAGCCTGGACACCCCCATATTTGAGAAAAGAGCAATATGACGCAAGACCTTCTTGTTGAGCAGCTACATTGGAATCTGACACTGCCCCTTTCCAGAGACCTGGATCTTGTAGAAATGGTACAAAAACTGGATCCGACTCATCGGGGGTCTTTTCAAACTGTTGCTTGGCATCTTCATAACCTTCCTTTCGCACTTTCCAATTCTAGAGACATTCGGAACATTGTCAGCGTTTCGTGTCATCGATGTGATTTCACCGAAGACATCGGATCGGGTAAAGGGGCTTTAACCTTGTGACAGAACCGGTCAGGCAACGGTAATGAAGAAAAGTCCTCCTCCCCCTCAGCCATGATGACAGATTATATGCGTGGGTAATGTATTAGCTAGAAGGTGCACTAGAATTGAGAAGCGAGTACAGTTAGCTTCATTCCACCGGAAGTGGCATGGCACAACAGAACAGTAAACAGCCGAAGCGCAATATGCAGAGATCTATACAAGGTCGTCGAGAGCGACGAGTAGCTCAGGCTAGACAGCAAACTGCTGTTGACTTCACGCAACAGGAAAAGACCAGGGACGCACCTTAGAGGGGTTTTTTGCGGAGGGGTCTCCTGTTGTGGATCTTTCAAGTAATGGTCAGGCCTGAGTATATCAAGACATGCACAACTGTCACCTGAAGAGATGAAAATAAATTCCCTCCAGTCAATTCTTGAATCTCCTCTTCGGTATCTTTGACGAAATAGGAGGACAAAAGGGTGTGGTGGACGTCTAGGAGAACATGCCACTTTGACGCAGATGATGATTGATAGAATCGGACAGTAAACAACCAACAAGTCGCTGTGGTGATTTCGCGACCCAAAGATTGGGTGGACTGGCTGCCTTGGCATTCAGGCCCGCGGGAACACATGCCCAACCTGTGCTGTTGTGCAACTAAACAAACAATCTGAGGATTTGTCTCCCCCACGGTTGTGTCAACCAGCATCATATCAATTCTTAATTCTTTACGTCTGGGCTTAATTCTGCGCTATCACACACTAATCACCACCCGTCCATAACATAAAGTATATGCCTCCGCTCTGACGACAGATACGACTCCCACATTGTCCCCTCCCCCTGCGTTCTCACACCCATCCCCACGGTCGCAAAACAGAAACCCTCCCCCTCTTGACATCCTGGCTCACCGCCCGGCTCAGGACTATCATTCGCATACAAATTCCTAGATCAATTGCCAATAAGAGCCAGCTTAAAGGACTTCACTTCTCCTGCGGACGGTCGCACGGTATACCGATAAGAAATTTACCTGTCTCGGTCGACGAGGCTAAAGCAGTGCATGCAGAGGGTCAGACTAGCGTGGAGAGACTGCCGTTGAACATGAGCCAGCTACTCACGGCGCGGCAGGCAGAGGAGCTGTACGTCATTGCTCCTGGGTTACAATAACTGAAAAAGACTGAGGAGGAAAGGGTGTGACGCTGACATCGCTCAAAATGTTCTCCATAGACACAAATCCATTATCGCCTATCTTGCCTCGGTGAACCTAACTGAGAGTTCTGCTGCTCTGCGAGCGGAGCTAGGCGATTCGGTTTCAATTGACGATGCGACGCTGAAGAAGTATGAGGGGCTATTAGAGAAGAAATGGACCAGCGTGGTCCGCTTGCAGAAGAAGGTTGGTTCCTAGGACTGCGCGAATCTCGTTTTGCGTCATGAATGCCGGATAGCACTGACCATCGTCTCCCCTTTGGGCTGATTAGATCATGGACCTTGAGTCCCGATGCGCGGCACTCCAGTCAGAACTAGACTCTGCAACGCCTACTTCACTATTGCGAAAGAATCAGGACCCTACATCGTGGTTACCGCGATCCCCTGCCCGCCATATACTCGAGGGCCACCGAGAACCTGTCACATGTGTTGCGTTCCACCCAGTATTTTCTTCCCTCGCATCGGGCTCAGACGATACGACGATCAAGATCTGGGATTGGGAGCTCGGGGAACTAGAACGGACAGTCAAGGGGCACACCAAGGCGGTGCTAGACGTCGATTATGGTGGGCCCCGCGGCGGAACACTTCTGGCGTCCTGTTCATCCGATCTAACAATCAAGCTATGGGATCCATCTGATAACTACAAGAACATAAGAACCTTGCCAGGTCATGATCACAGTGTCTCCTCGGTGAGATTCATCCCATCTGGCGCGGCAGGCTCGCCTATGTCGGGGAATCTATTGGTCTCCGCATCACGAGATAAGACTTTGCGGATATGGGATGTAACGACCGGATATTGTGTGAAGACATTGTCAGGACATGTGGACTGGGTACGAGCCGTTGCGCCATCTCTCGACGGAAGGTTCCTCTTCGCCGCGGGCGATGACCGGATTCCTCGCTTGTGGGATCTATCATCTGCGGAAACCAAATCGACATTCCTCGGGCACGAACATGTCATTGAATGTGTTGCTATTGCTCCTGCTGCCAGCTATCCACATCTTGCGGTTCTTTCCGGCTTGAAGAAACCGCCGCCGGTTTCCTCGTCAGCTGAATTTTTCGCCACTGGGTCTCGAGACAAAACTATCCGGCTATGGGATTCACGAGGCAATCTTATCAAAACGCTTGTGGGCCATGACAACTGGGTTCGTGCGCTCGCTTTTCATCCAGGCGGTAAACATCTTCTGTCGGTTGCAGACGACAAGACTATCCGCTGCTGGGATTTGACCCAGGAATGCAAGTGCGTCAGGGTCATCTCTGATGCTCACGGACATTTTGTCACATGCCTCCGATGGGCGCCACCATTAATCAAAGATGGGGGAGCCAATGGAGAATCAGAGACCAATGGAGCACCGGCGGCCACCGCGACAACAAATGGTGTCAGACCAGATCCCAACGCGGCCAACAAGATCTCGATCAGATGCGTCATTGCCACCGGCAGTGTCGACCGCAAAGTGCGGATTTTCGCGACCTGACGACGTGGACTGATCAGTGCCGTCGTTCTTCAAACAACGACGGAGTCGCACCAGAAGATGCATGCATACGAAGACGAAGAAGCAACTAATCGGCATCGTTCAATTGGAATGCAATCTCATTGAACATGGCTCGCTCACTAATATGGGCATGGAGTTGGTTTCCATTCTGTGATACCAGTATATTTTAGGTGGAAGCAAGGTCTGGTTTCCTTTGGGCTAGAAAGCTGTACTACCCTTATTACCTTCTGTATTGTCTTTAATCCTGCCAAATTTTGGGGGTTGTTGCATGGACGGATTCTCCCTTGGCTCAAACCTGCGTCTTTCCTCGTACATATTTACGGCCTTTTTCTTTTTGATTGAGATTCAAGATACCTTTCTGCTGTGACTGTTGAATGCATATTCAATCAATACATTGCGCCTACGACGTTACTATGTCTCTTCAGTCAGTCTTCCTGTAGTAATGAACTGTCCCAAGGTAAATGGAACAATTATCACTTCATGCCAGTTTCAGCTGGCAAAGGTAGCAACGGAAGATGACGACAGGTCTGAATGAATCCCTCGCCATTTCGCCTTGTATTTCGACGAGCCAATTGTCCAAAGAACAGTAAAAGAGCATGAATGTTCAGAGTATAGTACACTTTATCTCGCAAACCCTATACAGGAGGGACTTTCATATCCCTCATACAAATCCCAATCTCGAAGACCCCAAAAACCCTCAAGCTCACGCACTAAGATCACCAACCCTCTCATAAATCAATGCTCTGATCCGTCCAACATGCTCCTTCACGCCCTGCACCTCACCACCCTCCGACCTCCTCGCCTCCCGCCGCTGCCACTTAGCAGACCTCTTCTCGGCACGCACGGCATCCCGCTCCTCGCGCGTCATAACAGGCGGACGATCCTCAATCGCTCTCCCAAACGGCGCCACAATCCGCTCAACCACATGCCGCACATTGCGACTCTTCGGGAAGCCCGACGAGAACTCGATGACATCGCCCTCGCGGAGAGAATTGCGGGGGTCCGCGACAAGGTAGTGCGTGATCTTGGGGTAGGATTTGCGGAGGTACGGGTCCCAGGTTGTATGGCGGTGGCTGACGCGGACGGTGCGGTCCATGCGGCCGACGGAGACGACGGTGCCGGTTTTGAGGGTGTAGGGGTACTTGCGGAGGGAGGGGGGTGCGATGGTCGACGAGGGTGTGAGTTCGGGGGCTGTCTGTGGTTGTTTGGCGACTGGGGCTGTGGTTGAAGCGGTGCGTCTGACGATGTTGCTTGACCGTGTCGACTGGAGGAAGGAAGCTTGGGTTGAGGTGGTGATTGTTGACCGGGGGATGCAGGATCGGAGGGGCCGCATTGCCCGTATGATACTGCTGGGGGGCATTTTTGTGTAAGAGACTGATCTCTCCGAGATCTCAACGACTGTGTTTCTGTTGTTGAACGAGGGCGTTGTCCGTTCGACTGTCTGAAGAGGTAGAGTTTTGACTTCTTTGGAGATGCGGTCGTTCGGAGAGTGGAAAGTCGCGGCCTTGTGGGACCGGGAGGGAACAGAGTATAGTTCCCTATAAGTCAATTAGGTGCGAAAAATGTAATGAGCACCTGGATATTGACAGAATTGCACTATACGGGCTCGTGATGTCCGAGTTGAAATCCGCGGACGGCGGAGTTTCCCAAGAATTTCTCCATTTGTGTTTGCACTGTTTGTCAAGTTCAATCGCAAAGGTGAAATCCACAAAGACATGCCTTAAATTCGTCTCTACGCAAAAAGTGTATAATTGAGGTGAGTTGAGATCAGAGTCATTTTGATAGCCCGAAATAGAATAGAATAAACTCATATATCGAAAATTCGTGTCTGATGAATGAAGAGGCCCATAAGATAAACAAAAACACCTAAAGGGAGTGCTTAATATACAAGACGCCAAAACCTCCCACCTGTCATGCCTACCCGGGCATAGGAATCTATTCGTGATCATTTTCTTGGTAGTTTTCCGTTCCAAAGAGTCTGTTATCATGAACACAAAGCATAGCAGAGACAGAATTATGTCCGCGCCTAACTCGTAAACCGGCGAGGAATCTTCCTCATCCCATCAGGCGATCCCAGCTCTTCATTCTCTAAGCAAGAAAGAATGACAATTTCACTGTGTCGTTTGGGATTCCTCCGACTCTCCAGAACCATTCATAGGCTTCTCAGCGTCAGCACTTTCAGGCAGCTTGGCCTTTCGCGATTGGAATTTTCCAGCTGAGTGCGCAGATATTCTGTTCAACTCGGTGACAAAGGATTGGCCCCAGAAGGCGCTTGATGTCGTCAGCTCAGGTTACGCCGGTCGGCGGCGGAGATGTCAGCTGGTTACTTACCTTGTATATTTATTGACATACTTGTCCAGTTTGGAGAAGTTGAGGGCCCTCTGCTCGTCACTCATAGTGACGGCCTCTTGGTAAGCACCGGCTAGCTCTTCCGTGTTCCAAGGATTGATGATTATACTGCCGTTGAGACTCTGAGCCGCGCCAGCGAATTCTGACAGAACCAGCACACCATGTCGTTTTTGTTGAGAAGCTATATACTCATATGCCACCAAGTTCATGCCATCTCGGGTCGACGATACGATGCATGCATCGGAAACAGCATACAGAGCAATCAGCTCGTCAAAGTTGACTGACTTGTGTAGGAAATGAATGGGCATGAATTCAACCGTTCCTAAAGCCGCCAGTCAGATATTGATGCCCTAGATAGGATGACGGCTGCTGAGCACCCACCGAATTTTCCGTTAATCCGCCCCACCAATTCGTTCACGACCGCTCTCAAATTTTGATACTCCTCAACATCTTGTCTACTGGGCACTGCGACTTGTACCAGCACGACTTTGCCCACCCATTCCGGATGATCACTGAGGAAGACTTCGAGAGCATGCAGCTTCTGGGGAACTCCCTTGATATAATCGAGGCGATCAACACCCACCATGAGCTTCACGCCCTGGAATTTCTGCTCGAGCTGTGCTATCCGTTTCTGGACCTTTTCCTTTTTGAGACCTTCCTGAAACTTCTCGGGGTCAATGCCAATTGGGAAAGCACCGCAAGCGATGACCTTGCCCTGGAACTCTATTCCATTAGGAGTGGTTGCCAAGCCCCTGAAGGTATATGTTAGCTGCTTCAAATGCCAATCAACATCAAAGGCGGCCTTAAGCATACAGTAATCGCGAGCATGCGCTCAAAAAATGTCTCGTATAGTCATATGTGTGGAACCCAATGAGATCGCAGTGGAGCACACCAAGCAACAGCTCGTTACGGACGGGCAGGATTCTGTAGATTTCGCTGCTAGGGAAGGGAGTATGGAGGAAGAATCCGATCTTGACGTTTTCCTTGCTATCTCCAATCTCCTCGCGAAGCATTTCAGGAAGAAGCATGAGGTGATAATCATGGACCCAGATCAGGTCTCCATCTTGGACTTCTTTCGCAACGGCTTTGGCAAAAAGGCGGTTCGCTTCCTTGTATGCCTCCCAGGCCGATTCGTCGAATGTAATTTCACCTGGATGGTAATGGAAAAGTGGCCACAGGATAGAATCTAGACGACGACAGACACTGTCAGCAATCCATTCTGATTGCGCACTGCAAAAGCGTACAATTCGCCTGCTTCAACAACGCGTGAGACGGTGAACTAACTGGAGAATCCATTGTAGTGCCGATCCGCGAGTTCATCATCAATGAATACCGGGATCGCTCCATATTCGTCCTTTAGACGTTGTTTGACAACAGGAATTTCCTCTTCGGGAACCTCCAACCCGGGCCAGCCGTACCATTGGAAGGTCGTAGACTTGGACAGGCCGCTGAGACCGCTGACCAGCCCGCCGGAGGACATGGAGAAGTCATACTTGCCATCCTCCGAGCGCTTTATAGTAATGGGAAGCCGATTGGAGACGAGAAGTAGTCTCGCCTCGTTTTGGGTGGAGTTCTCGAGTGACGGCATGGCGTATCAGGGTATGTGGGTGCGGGATATCAGAGCAGGCACAGTCGGGAATATCTGATCGGACCGGCGACAGAGTGTAATTGTAGTTTATTCCAATCGGAAACCTCTTTGGAGACAGAACGCGACGCTAAAGAGAAGAAAGGCAAGTCAAGACCGGTGACGTTGAACGGAGCGTAGGAGTATGCCGAGAATAAGGTGGGGACGATCTTTAGAGCAATCCGACAGTGAGGGGAATGAAGGGCGCCGATAAAAGCGCAGGGGGACGACAATATCGGTCGCCAATGCTGTATAAATGTAGTCCTCTCTGGTTGTAGCTTTGATCCTGAATAGCTCGCTCACTCCTTGAGCGAAGAATTCGTTGACGTTGCTGTCTTCAGAGAGGAAGAAGAAACAAGCTGGAGGTTGGCGGGGAAGAGTGACCTCAGAGCCCAGCAAACAGCCAAACGCGCGGACCAACGGACCCAGATTTGGGCAAAAATACTGATGGGGGGCAAGAAAGCGGCCTGCTCTTCAATAGCGAGCTCATCGACTGCGAGATTCGGATGGGATATATGATATCAGGACCAGTTTGTTGAGACCGGAAGGGAGAGAACCATAAAAATACTGGTTTGATCCCCCTCAATACATGTATATGGTTTGATACGAATAATAGTGTGGTGATATTAATAACAACAATAATAGGCAGTGAGATTCAGATGGAGGGGTAACCGGATAAAACCAGTTTAGTCTAAGATCAGTGATAGGTAACAATAAAAATGAACTGCTCGGTAAACCCATACTACTGCAGGTCTCCAGGTCTGTCCATTTGGGCACTTGCAGAGCCAGTATCAGAGGTAAACTTACAGTACATTATCGTTGTAACCTGGTTTGTGGCAATGTGCCCAGCCAAAGGAAAGTGAAGTCAGAGTCTGACTAACTGGAATGTCGCCTTGGACTTCCCGACCAGTCAAGGAAAAAGCCGTCGATGATGCCAACACTTCCAAGGAAAAAGATAACGGCATCAGGTTTCCTTTACCAAAGAAAGAAACGAACCCCGCCTACAGTCCATTGTTTTTCCGGTCCTATGTTGCATCCTTTGACACTTTCTTTCATGGATCAACCACCAGTCGTCTCGTACTCGTTGGTTGATGACTGGCTGGCGCTGTAATCATAACTCCTGCATGTTTACTATCAGCGGTATTTATATGAGTGAAGTAGGCTCCCAACTGGTGGCGTTTTTCGGAGTCCAATCTCATACTTTGGGTTCACATGGCCTGGCTGCTGTTACAACATTAATCTAACCTCTTCTTGAAATTCTTGCATACTCAGTAGATCTTGGGATCAGACCGGAAGAAGTTTCACTGGTTGAAGCATTGTCTGTCACATTAAGCTACTACTAGATACCATATATATATCATGATATTAATCCCGCATACAGAGGGGTGTGAGACGGATTTGAAATCAAGCATCCGCTGCCAGGCAGTAGTATGTGATTCACAATGCAGACTTTCCAATGTCTATCCTCCATTTCCCCGTCTCTGTGTCATGGACCACCTTTCCCTCGGCCTCCAGTTTCATTAACACCTGCAAGACACCATGTGAAGCAGGCAAGTGAAGACTTTCGGGAACATTCCGATAGATAACTTTGACTAGTTCGATGGGGGTCCATGAAGCCTTGCGTTCTGGAGAAGGTTCATTATCCGGGACGTCAAGCTTTCCATACCGCAACACCCGAATTACTTCTTCCTCACGCTGCTGCCGATGGTTGATGTACTCGGTGATCTTCGTAGTTGCATTCTCTATCACTGCACCGTGGCCCGGATATCCGCGGCCTGAGACCCGATTCTGCATTCTCTGCAGGCTGGACAGATACACTGGGAGATCTTCAAATACGGCTGTCCCGTGACCCAGCACGTCTAAAAGGAAAGAGTAAAGAAAAAGGTCAGCCGCAACAGTGACCACATAGAACAACCACCTAGTGGAGAGTAAGACTCACTATCACCAGTGATAATGGCGTCCTCCTCTTCAAGAACGAACATCATATGGTCCACGGTATGCCCTGGAGTATGATACGCTTTCAACGTAGCGCCTTCAACGCTGAAGACTTGGCCATCCTCAATATCGAGCTGTCCTTCATCTGGTTGGTGCTTGTAAACCGTCGCTTGCGGACAAATCTCGAGGAGATCGGGAACCCCATTGACATGGTCGTGGTGCCAGTGTGTCAGGAGTGCTTTATGGACTGTCGCATTCTCCTTTGCTAGCACACCTTTGAGATGATTTGCCCAGGACGGTTTACCCTCGCCGGTGTCGATGAGTATCCGCTGGTGGCCCCGTCCGATTAGATATGTGTTCGTTCCTATGATATCCAGCATGAGACGCCTGATTCGTTTTAGGACTCTTGTGTAAGCCACTCACCTTGCAGAGTGAACTATAACATCGATCGCATATTAGCTTCGAACCGGGCCATTGACTTGTATTATCTGCTCCTGCGCGAAACCTTAAAAGCCAAGAATGCACTCACTTTGCCTGGATTTCCCCCCAGTATCCGGACTACCGAAGCACTGAGCCTTTCCACTTCTGAGAGCGGGACAAGTTGTGTAGCCATGGTTTAGGAAGTGATGTTAATGGTGGTTGATATATGCGGAGTTTGCCTGCGAAGTTGTTGCGTTTCACAAAAGCCGCTTACAAACTGTTTCTTTCTATCGGATCAACCGTCGAGTCTTCAGGAATAGCCAGGGGATATTTATACAAATTAGACGCAACTATAATGATCTGCGGTCTACAATTTGTTAATCGCCATTCTGAATTTAGGTAGGTTCACTTTGCTCAAGCCCGAGTATGGAGGAGAGAGCGGTCCCTTAGTAACCGAGGTAGTTTCATTGCGGGGAGCTAAACTGACGTTAGGTACGCTAGTGAATTTCTGTTGGTTTCTGTGTATTGTTTGTATAGCTTCCAATTGTTCCAGCTCGAACTTCATAACACATTGAAGCATTTGCAAACTCGAGGGACTTAGCACACGGGAAGCAACCTCACCTTTTCACGTGTTATGACTTAACCAGACAGGCCAACCTGCTACTAGAAGATATGAATCACAAGGATCTAGCCTTGAACATAAATGAAATGACTTTGGTATGCATGCGATCCCTAACATACAATGGCTGTGTGCGAAAAAAGAAAACGGAAGCCTATATCCATAGAGCCCACCCAAACTCGGGATGGTAAAAAAACAACAAAACTTCGGTGGTAACGAAGAAACACAAATCGTTAGAATTTTCAGAACACCGTTTTTCATGAACCGTGAAAAGCAGGCCCAAAGGCCGCTGTCCACTCCCCAAACATTGCGAACTCGAGTCAAGTGCTGGATACATACACTGAACTCAGAAGTTCAAAAAGATGTTCCCAGTGATCGCTAGGAACCACTCAAGACATAATTTACAAACCTTCGACATCGTATGCGGAGGGTTTAGCCTTCAGGCGGACTGTCGCAACTAAATTTATTTGGTACCGGACTTGCGGGCCATGGTGTTGAGGGCAGAGCCATCCTTGAACCATTCGATCTGAGACTCGTTGAAGGTGTGGTTCAGGGAGATGTCGAAGGGAGCGCTGCCATCCTTGGGGTGAACACGGAGAGTCATGGGCTTGCCAACCTCGAGCTGAGTGCAAAGGAGGTCGACGGTGTCCTCAGGGTTGATCTTGTCATAATCGGCAGGGTCAGCGAAAGTGAGAGGAAGCATACCCTGCTTCTTCAGGTTGGTTTCATGCTGTGAAAAGAGAGTTAGTATTATTGCGCAGAATGCAAAATAACGGACCAGAATGACTTACGATACGGGCAAAGCTGCGGGTGATAATGGCGAGACCACCAAGGTGTCTGGGCTCCAGAGCGGCGTGCTCACGGGAGCTTCCCTCACCGTAGTTCCAGTCGCCAATGACAACCCACTTAATACCACGAGCCTTGTAGTCACGAGCGGTAGCAGGGACAGCATCGTACTCGCCAGTGAACTTGTTCTTGACAGAGTTGGCCTTGCCGTTCTCAGCGTTGACAGCACCAATCAGCATGTTGTTGGAGATGTTGTCAAGGTGGCCACGGTACTTCAACCACGGGCCAGCCATGGAGATGTGATCGGTGGTGGTCTTGCCCTGGCACTTGATGAGGATAGGGATGCCGTTGGCGTCCTTGCCATCCCAGGGCTCGAATCCAGCAAGGAGCTGCAAACGGTCACTGGTGGGGGAGACGGCGACGTTGACGGAGGCGCGGTCGGTGGGAGGAGCCTGGTAGGTGTCACGGCCGGGGTCGTAGCCCTTGGCGGGGAGACCCTCTCCAGTAGGAGGCTGGAGCAGGAACTCATTGCCGTCCTTGTCCTTCAGCTTGTCAGTGAGGGGGTTGAACTTGAGGGTACCGGCAACGGTCATGGCGACGACGAGGTCGGGAGAAGCGACGAATGCGTGGGTAGCAGGGTTGGCGTCGTTACGGCCAGTGAAGTTACGGTTGTAGGAGGAGATGATGGAGTTAGGCTCGCCCTTCTTGACGTCCTTGCGGTCCCACTGACCGATGCAAGGACCGCAGGCGTTGGCGAGGATGACACCACCGAACTCCTCAAGAGTCTGGAGCTGGCCATCGCGCTCAATAGTGGCGCGAATCTGCTCGGAACCGGGGGTAACAGTGAAGAGGGACTTGGCCTTCAGACCGTGGTTCAGAGCGTCACGAGCGATCGAGGCGGCACGGGACATATCCTCATAAGAGGAGTTGGTGCAAGAACCGATCAGACCAACCTTGAGCTCCTCAGGCCACTTGTTGGTCTCGACAGCCTCCTTGAACTTAGAAATGGGGGTAGCAAGATCAGGAGTGAAGGGACCGTTGATGTGAGGCTCAAGCTCAGAGAGGTTGATCTCGATCAGCTGGTCGTACTCGGCGCCCTCGTCCTCACGCAGCTCCTTGGCGTATTCGCGGGAGAAGTCACCAATGTGCTGACGCTTGGTGGCCTTCAGGTAATCATACATGCGGTCGTTGAAGGGGAACATGGAGGTGGTAGCACCAATTTCAGCACCCATGTTACAGATGGTACCCATACCAGTGCAAGAGAGAGAGGTAACACCAGGTCCGTGGTACTCAATGATAGCACCAGTACCACCCTTGACGGTAAGGAGGCCGGCAACCTTCAGGATGATATCCTTAGGAGTGGTCCAGCCGGACATCTCACCGGTAAGCTTAACACCGATGACCTTGGGAGCCTTCAACTCCCAGGGAAGACCAGCCATGACATCGACAGCATCAGCACCACCGACACCAATAGCAGCCATAGCAAGACCACCAGCGTTGGGGGTGTGAGAGTCGGTACCGATCATCAGACCACCAGGGAAAGCGTAGTTCTCCAGGACAATCTGGTGAATGATACCGGAACCGGGCTTCCAGAAACCAATGTTGTACTTAGCGGTGGCACTAGCCAGGAAATCATAAACTTCCTTGTTGATCTCGTTGGCACGAGCAAGATCCTTGTCACCTCCAACCTGGGCCTCGATCAAGTGGTCACAGTGGACGGTAGTAGGAGTAGCGACAGAGGGCATGCCAGCAGACATGAACTGCAGAATGGCCATCTGAGCGGTGGCATCCTGGCAAGCGACACGGTCGGGGCGGAGCTTCAGGTAGGACTTGCCACGCTCAATCTCCTGTCCGTGAGGGTCGTCAAGGTGAGAGTACAGAACCTTCTCGGCGTATGTGAGAGGACGCTGCAAGCGACGACGGACAATGTCCAGGTTCTCAGACATCTTCCTGAAAAGTTAAGGAACATGTTAGTAGCTGAGTGATTACTGGTGATTTCCAGATTCTCCGTATGAGCGGATTGTTTTGGGCCGAGTGCAAAGGGCGTTTATAGCATACTTGTAGTTGATGTAGTTACCCTGGCGGATACGTTAGCGGATCCTGTTCCCGTAACGAGCTAAACAGCAGCGCTGGACTGGCCGAACAAGACCACTCACCTTCTCAGTGTTGGCCATCTCGACCTTCTTGTCGAGAGGGGAGTCACCAACGGTAGCGAAGGCCCGGGTCCCGAGGAACTGCACAAAAGATCAGTCAGTACATCTGCGCTGTTGGTCAAGTAGCCATAGCCACGGCTTCCGAGTTGCTCGCTGGAGAACAGCGCGGCAGAGGTGAGATCAAGGGATTCTTACAAGTCGGGACTTGGGGGCCTGTGAGGTATCATGTCAGCTTCTGGACAATTCATCTTTTGGTGCTTCGACCCATCCTTCAATGCATCGCACATGAATGCAGGTGCTTGAAGGATGAGCTAGGAGCTAGAGTTCACTTACCAGCGCACCGGCGCGCGCAAGCCTTGTGGAGATCATTATGGAAGCTCTCTATGTGAGTTGGGCAGTGCCGCAATACATCCAACGAGAGCCAATCCAAGCAGCAACAACAGCCAGCTGCAGAAAAGAATAGAGTGGAGTGGGAAAAGTAAGGAAGAGAAAAGAGTTAGGATCAAAGGGAGATGGAGCAGATAAAAAGGAAGCTTGGTGTGGGAAAGAATTCTTGATGAACCGGAGAAGAGGACCCGTAACCGCTCGTGACAGTACGGGCGTACGCTTTCGGTACAATCGGCGCCATGCTTGCGACCGGAGACAAGGAAAAATGGCTGGAAGCCCGCCTCCATTATTTTACTAAAGCTCACCATACACTAGCGATCTTGATTACAATTGGGAAGATTCTCTTGGTCTGTAGACCGGAGGCCTCGAAAAAATGATCCACAGGCTCGTTAGGAGTCTTTGAAAAGCGCCCATCATTAATGGTCTTCCAATGTTGCTGCCAGCCCTAAGGAGTACCTAGCACCCCCATGTTCAACTTCATTACAGAAAACGGTATGGATTGATGTAAAGGGTTACACCTAAGCGGCCGGATGCCCGTGCTTCCACTCTGGGGCATGTGAGACGGAAATAGCGGTGGGCCAATCATGTGGCAACGATTATCTATCGTCACTCTGATTCTGTACTGAGGTAACTCGGCAGCGGTCCACTGGCTTCGATTGTAGAAGAAGCTGAATTCCGTGACCTTACAGCTCATCTAGGTCAAAATGATTACATGGTCCTTTCCATGTTGAAGAATAGTACAGAGGACTTGTGTCCTATTCATCAAGAACAAACGATCTTGACAGGTGTCCACAGGGAAACCTCAGAAAGCGGCTGTTTACGGGGCTAAAATCATTACTTTACCTGAATCGCAACTGGACGATGCTACAAGCCTAGGACGGAGCAACATGCCGAAAAGAATGAAAACGTCATAAATTACAGAACGTGGAAAGATGTTGTAATTACTGTATGGGGGTATGCAGCTGAAGCCGAGTCTGAGCCGAGGCCTACTGAAGGGGCATCCCGCAGGCCGGTGCCAAGCCCAAGAGGACTCACACCAATCAAAAGCGAGCACTTCGAGAAAATCCCTCTTTATGGACAGAGGCGGAAATTTCGAGACAGTTGACCCGCTTCCAAAGGCCCAAAACTTTTGCATCCTTCCGTATATCGGTGATAACAATTTTGTGCCAATCTGGTGAATAGTGTCCATACTACACTAAGCCTGCAGATATTCAAGATGGGAGCTGTGAAAAAGATTAAGACAAAGCGCAGAACAAGGTATGATATACAGGGATACACTCATCGCGCCGTTGGTACACTTGAAGATCCGATAGCTCTAACATCACTTGTCTCTGTAGGGACTACGATCAGGTCCGAGCGGACATCGACTCTCCCAAGCACCTCACGCAGTACAAAGCCACCAAGGACGCGGAGGATCTTCCAGGTCTAGGAAAGCATTATTGCGTCGAATGTTCGAAATGGTTTGAGAGCGAATACAACCTGGTCGCCCATACCAAGGGCAAAAACCACAAAAGAAGGTCGGTGATTATAGACACTGCGAACGTCTTCTTGGACCGATCACATCTGACTCAGCGATGCTTGAACAGGTTGCGATTGCTGCGCGAGGAACCTCATTCACAGAAAATCGCAGAGGCTGCTGTCGGTCTGGGTACCGACAATGGATTGCGACAACAGGAAACGGTCGTTGACATGGAGGATTAGCCTATAGCCTAACGGTCATCCTCAACAAAAGGACAACCCTCGATAGATACACTATCCTCGATCCTCTGTCCAACAGCAAATTCGGCGACAAACTCTGCACGACTGAATTACACCTTCAGTTTACCTTATTGTCGTTTGCTTTGAAGGCAACAGTGAAGCTCTTTTGTCCAATCAGCAACCAGCTGGGTCTGAGCCGCACATGAAACCACATGTTCCGAATTTCGCCAGTTATAGGCGATCCCAAAGCCGAGCAAGCCCAATTCCGGTTTGCGGTGGCCTTCAAACCGCCGGTCTTCGGCCCTCTTCCAGCATCGGCCCACATTTATTTGGGTCCTTGGTATGAAAATCATTTACTAGCTGCAATAAATACCAGATACAGCGGTATATACAAGTTGATCTTAAACATAATAAATGTCCCCTCTGCTCTATACTTGCGTAACCCCAGCAACACAGCTCTGTGTCTGATCACAGGAGCTGTTTAGATATTTCATGAGCCATTCGTATGTTGCCCACTGTTGCGCATGATTAGCAAATGTCATTCCATGGCGCTGTTGGGATCACATACCTGGACAGCGTTTACTATGAAAGCTCTCAAGCTACAGATCCCGAGGCCTCGGTAGAAAGCTTTCAGCCCTTCGGATTGATACGCGGCTTTGGCAATCTGGTAGGAATTCAATGTCTGGGGCTTGCTCTGTATAGGTATCAGTGGGCGGGACTCGGGAGCTGTTGCAATTGTCTGCGCTTGCAGTCTCGTCTTAATCATGTCCAGCGGGTAGACAGAGGCCCATGTGGTTACTCCAGCAATGCCTCCGCAGAGAAGTACTTTCAGAGCAATCTCATGCGCGTTATCATTTTCGGAGGCCATAAGACGTTTGCAGTACTCGTAAGACCAGAAACTGTGGGTGCCATAGGTAAATAAACGTCCGACTAGAAACCTGTCGGGGGAAGACCCAGGGAAAGCATTGTGCATACTAAAATCCGTAGCCAATCGAGTCTCTGGCGCAAGTAATCACTCCTCCGAAGTAGAGACCCGTCAATCCTCGGGTCCGAAAGATGTCCTTGGCGACAGTCCACGAAGAGACCCCAGGGCGAGTGTCAAGTTGCGCTCGGCATTTGATGAACTCTGTGGGAGATGAGACCGTCCAGCTGGCCACTCCGCCAGCAGCACCAGCAAGCCAGATTTTGTAGAGCGAAACGCCTAAGGGGTTTGTGGGATCCTTTACCGAATCATCCATGAACATCAACGAACGATTGTAGGCGACAAATAGCAGCGCATTAAGCGCTCCATATCCCAGTATGGGAGCAGCAGCACCTGCAGAGTACCCATGTCAGTGTTAATGTCAGGTTCTGCAATCGTGAGAGGGCCAACCAACCTCGCACAAGGGAGCTCACATTCTCAAAGGAGCCTATGTTCCGGCTTGTTGATCCAGCTGCATTAGCCCCTCCAGCTTGTAATCGAACCTTGGCAACATCTAGAGGGTTGCCGATTATAATTCCAATGGCCCCACTGAGGTATCCCGCCCAAAAGTCCGACGACATTGAGAACAATTTCCCAAGGTCGAGAGCTTGAGCAGTGGCTACCTACATCCTTGCCTAGATATTAATCCTCCCATGGCTAATGGCGGGGTCGGCTACAATATCCGCACGTGATTGCGTGGTACTTTGGTGTTCCGTCAACAGCGGAGACGCGCCAGGTATTGAGGACAACGCGTTCGAGTGGCAATCACCGTATCAATCAACTTTGATTGATGACCACGGATAGCGACAAGGCAATCCAACCAGCTACTCGAGAAGCTATCCTTCTATGGAAGAAGCTATCAATGTGAGTCCATCCTAGGCTCTTTACGTTCCAATGAGCTGAATTGACAGAAATAGGTATCGCCCGCGCCCAGCTGTAGGAACCGAAGGTGGAAACACCCCGTTATCCAAGCCACTACAGAGAAGCGTATCATCCAACTCGATAGACCGTCTTTCAAAGCCTTTCAAATGTCCCGGGTCTGCCACCCCTACCCGAACTTCAGATAAGCCTGCGAGAAAGCGAAGAAAAGTCAACTATGCGGGAGCAGAGGGAGAGGTGGAGGACAACAGCGTCAAGCCATGGACCAACGAAGAACGTCTTGCTCTTGCGACAAGAGATGCCAATAAATTCCCCGTCTTTAAGGTCAAGGACAAAGAAACCACGTTTAAGCAAAGATTTCGGATCCCCTTGATCAACAAGTCCTCTGATGAATACAATCCTTCGAGACCAGCTCCCACTTTGGGAATGAGGCAAGGTGCCACTTTTGTTGTGAAACCACTACACGATCCTAGTGGAGAATTTGCGATAGTTCTATATGATCCCACCGTCGACGATATTGACGAGACTCCGGAATCGATGCCCGAAGACAAGGGCACCGAGGAAACTAAAGCCAAGCTGGATGAGCCGCTGATGCATAAGAGCCTAGCAGATATACTCGGGCTGAAGAAGAAGGTGGAATCTCGTCCTAAGGTTCCAGTGGTCATAGATCCCAGATTGGCGAAAGTTCTGAGGCCGCATCAAGTGGAAGGTGTAAAGGTAATGATTCCCTCTACATCCACGCAAACACGAATCCAGGAACTAACATGCCCTCTCCGCAAGTTTCTTTATCGCTGTACAACCGGTATGATAGATAAAAATGCGAATGGTTGCATTATGGCCGATGGTATGGGATTGGGAAAGACTGTATGTCGCAGCTTCTTTCGAGATATTAATCAAGCCTAACATGGACAGCTTCAATGCATTTCCCTAATGTGGACACTTCTGAAGCAATCACCGGAAGCAGGAAAGACGACAATTCAAAAATGTATCATTGCTTGTCCCTCCAGTCTGGTCGGAAACTGGGCCAACGAACTTGGTAAGCCACAAGCCCTTTGCGTCAGTCGCTTATACTAACATAGGCAGTGAAATGGCTGGGAAAGGATGCAATAACGCCGTTCGCGATAGACGGCAAAGCCTCGAAGGCGGAGCTCACCTCCCAAATAAAGCAATGGGCCATCGCATCCGGGCGGGCCGTAGTCAGGCCTGTTCTCATAGTTTCATATGAAACTCTTCGAATGTATGTCGATGCATTAAAAGACAGTCCGATTGGGCTTCTTTTGTGCGATGAAGGCCACCGACTCAAGAACAAAGACAGTTTAACGTGGACTGCTTTGAACAGTCTGAATGTGACTCGTCGTGTGATTTTGTCGGGTACCCCCATTCAGAATGATCTCTCGGAGTATTTCGCTTTACTTCATTTTGCCAACCCAAATCTGCTGGGCTCGCAAAACGAGTTCCGAAAGAGATTCGAAATACCTATTCTAAAAGGACGAGATGCCGCAGGCACAGAGGAAGATCGGAAGAAGGGCGACGAGCGATTGGCAGAGCTGTCCGGTATTGTGAACAAATTCATCATTCGCCGGACGAACGATATTTTGTCGAAGTATCTGCCGATCAAATACGAGCATGTTGTCTTCTGCAACCTTTCCCGGTTCCAGCTTGATCTCTACAACCATTTCATTCAGAGCCCCGAGATCAAGAGCTTACTTAGGGGAAAGGGAAGTCAACCACTGAAGGCCATTGGGATATTGAAAAAGTTATGCAATCATCCGGATTTACTTGATCTCACGAGAGATCTTCCCGGTTGCGAACATACGTTTCCCGAGGACTATGTTCCACCTGAAGCTAGAGGGCGCGACAGAGACATCAAATCATGGTACTCTGGAAAGATGATGGTTCTCGATCGTATGCTAGCTCGTATCCGTCAGGATACGAATGACAAGATTGTCCTCATCAGCAATTACACCCAAACTCTCGACTTGTTCGAGAAACTCTGCCGATCGAGAGGCTATGGCTCGTTGAGGCTGGACGGAACCATGAACATCAACAAGCGGCAAAAGCTCGTCGACAAGTTCAACAATCCAGACGGTGAGGAATTTGTGTTCCTTCTAAGCAGCAAGGCCGGCGGTTGTGGATTAAACTTGATCGGCGCAAACCGCCTTGTGTTGTTCGATCCAGATTGGAATCCCGCTGCAGACCAGCAGGCCTTGGCACGAGTTTGGCGTGATGGTCAAAAGAAAGATTGTTTTGTTTATCGTTTCATTGCAACTGGGTCGATTGAGGAAAAGATCTTCCAACGTCAATCCCACAAGCAATCACTCTCGTCATGCGTCGTGGATTCGGCCGAAGACGTTGAGCGACATTTCTCGCTGGAGTCCCTCCGCGAGCTGTTCCAGTTCAAACCAGAAACGCGAAGTGACACTCATGACACGTTCAAATGTAAGCGGTGCAGACCGGATGGAACGCAGTACATTAAGGCTCCAGCCATGTTGTATGGTGACACCAGTTCCTGGAATCATTTTGTGAATGATGGCGAGAACGGCCAGCTCAGTAAGATCCAAGATCTACTGATACGCCAGGAGACTGGTGAAAAAGATGTGTCCGCCGTCTTCCAATATATTAGTCATTAAGGCTCTCTTGTCATGGCGCTTCTCGCTTGGAGCGTTTACGACTTTCATGTTAGTTTTTGGAGTTTTGGGGGTCATTTTGATGCCTTGTTATGGTCTCGCGGTCAGAGCGATTGGGTACTCAAACGTAACTTAGAACACCATAAGTGATAGGACATAGAGATATAGTTGAATGCAATTTTTCCGTATGCATACATAAGTCGTATGTTGAGAGACTGTACGTCAAGGGTTTGTTGTATCTACCGCACGACTCGAGTATCGATGGTCGGCGCTAAGGCCTGTCTCTGATGGTTGACAACTACGTCACTTCACGTCCACTAAGGTATCCCCATCTACGCTGCCAACGCATCTACGCTGTGAGTGCTCCCCACATTGCTATCGCAACGGCCAGGCGCGCGTAAAGCAGCTGACTTAGCAGTCTCGCGGCCCTATTTGGTTCTGATCGTGCAGAGGGTGCAGCCTGGTATTGATAGTTTTTCATAGCTACAGGTCGTTGAGCTCAAGTCCCCGATTCACCGCCAAGTCTAGCCAGAAATCGTCCCTCCACCATGAGCACTATTTAACAGAGAATCGAGAGTCGAGAACTCATCAAATCTATGTTTATTTGAGCTATGGATCATTCGATTCAGCGCCTGCTGAATGACAAGCTCTATGATCGCAGAAAACAGGGAGCTCTAGAGTACGGTTTACCGAGTCTGGTCCGGGAAACTCTTCAACCCACAGGATACTGATTAGACCATATTCAGGCTCGAGAAAGTCGTCCGCAATGCCGTTTTCCGAGGAGATCATGAAGAGATCCAGAAGATTGTCGATCAGCTTTGTCATGACTACGCCTACGCCGTACATCAGCCGCATGCGAGAAATGGTGGTTTGATTGGGTTAGCTGCAGCTTCAATAGCGCTTGGATCCGTGAGTCTGTTGGATAGGTTGCAATGATATCGCTGGTGCTAAGACTGGATTGAATCAGGAGGGCGTTGCGCCATATCTAAAAGAGATCGTGCCACCGGTTCTTGCTTGCTTTTCCGACCAAGATGCCCGAGTCCGGTACTATGCATGCGAGAGCATGTACAACATTGCGAAAGTCGCGAAGGGGGAGGTTCTTCTTTTTTTCAATGAAATATTTGACGCTCTGAGCAAAGTAAGTCGTTCCTAGCTATCTTCTCCGTATTCTTGGGTAAAATTGTCATGACTAAAATTCGACTTCAGTTAGCTTCCGATTCCGAGCTTTCTGTCAAAAACGGTGCAGAGCTTCTCGATCGACTTGTCAAGGACATTGTTTCGGAATCTGCTGCCTCATACATTTCGGTTTTGCAATTATCAGAGAAGCATACGGCAGACCCTGATGCGCAGGAAGAGGTCGAACTACCCACTGCGTTTTCGTTGGCCAAGTTCATACCCTTGCTGAAGGAACGGATACACGTCATCAGTCCATCCACACGCACTTTCTTGGTGTCATGGTTGACCTTACTAGACACCATTCCTGACCTGGAGCTTGTGTCATATCTGCCCGAATTCTTGGGAGGATTAATTGAGTTCCTTGGTGACCCGAACAGAGACGTCAACGTCACCACTCAGGCTCTTCTCGACAGGTTTTTGTCCGAAATCAAAAGGATTGCACGCCTCAAGAAAGGCATAGAAGAGAGTCGCAAAGAGCAAGGGAGCGACAACAGACAGTCGGCCGCGAGTGATAGTGTCAGCACTACCACTGATCACACAGTGGCTGTGGACACTGAACGCAATGAAAATGCTATCGAGGACTCCGAGTCTGGGTCAGACCTCGAGGAAAATGACTTACAAGCTGACGGAGACTGGATCCCGGGGCAAGATGTTCACATTGACTATCCCAAGATTCTGGACATCCTTGTAGGATTTGTCGATACCTCATTCGGTAAGCAAACTGAGTGGTACATTATGCCGTAGTCGATACTAAACACTGAGTTAGATGAGGAGATGCAGTTAACTGCATTACGCTGGATTGACAGCTTCTTCGAGATTAGCCCTGAAGATATCCTCCCTTTCGTCCCGCGTCTCTTGACACAGGTTCTCCCAGCAATGTCTAGTGGTTCAGACCAAGTGCGGCAGGCCGCAAACCGGGTCAACACATCATTGCTTGAGTATATCGTCTCCTTGTCTGAGGATAGCACCGAAGCACGACAGGGTCCCCCTTCCAGACCAATATCCACCGCAAGCAAAGAGCTTGTGGAGAGAAGAGCATCGACACCAAGTGGTCGTCAGTCTGTCGAAACGTCCACGAGTGAGTCGAAAAAGCAAGCCTCTCAACAAGAGCTCTCGAATGAACAGACACCTCGTAGCAGTCTGATATCTACGCCAATTCCTCCAGCGGATCTGGATTATGCCGCAGCCGTCAACTCGCTGACTTTGCAGTTCCTGAATGAGAACGAAGCCACAAGGGTGGCTGCCCTGTCTTGGTTGATAATGTTGCATCGGAAGGCGCCAAAGAAAGTGGTGGCATTCAACGATGGGACATTCCCTGCGCTTCTGAAGACGCTGTCAGACCCTGCGGAAGCTGTTGTCACAAAGGACCTCCAGCTTCTTTCACAGATCTCGAGAAACAGCGACGATAGCTACTTTACATCTTTCATGGTCAATTTGCTTCAGCTATTCTCCACCGATAGGCATCTGTTGGAAGTCCGAGGCAACCTGATCATTCGACAACTCTGCATGAATTTAAGCCCAGAGCGCATCTATCGGACTCTAGCAGACTGCCTCGAGAAAGAAGAAGTTAGTATCCTCAGGTATGCAGAGCTTTCAAGTGCTGACTGGTATGGTGTCTAGGATATCGAGTTTGCGAGTATCATGGTACAGAATCTGAATAATAACCTGATTACTGCACCTGAGCTATCAGATCTCAGAAAGAGGCTAAGGAATCTTGACTCTAAGGTAGGACGACCTCTTGAGTCGACGGCTGCAAGCAGATACTGATATATCCCGAAAGGAGGGTCAGATGTTCTTTGTCGCTCTGTTCCGGTCATGGTGCCACAATGCTGTTTCTACATTCTCCCTCTGTCTGCTTGCGCAGGCTTATGAGCAGGCTTATAACCTTCTTCAAGTCTTGTACGTTCACCCGTCCCTTTCCCCATCTCTGATGGGTGACTAACGTCGGGACCAGTGCTGAGCTTGAGATGACTGTGAATATGTTGATCCAAATCGATAAATTGGTTCAGCTCCTGGAGTCGCCTGTCTTTACCTGTTAGTTTCTCTCCCACCTATATGACCCCTTGAATTCCGAGACTAAGGTACAGCAGATCTTCGTCTCCAGCTCCTCGAACCAGAAAGATACCCGTATCTGTACAAGTGTCTCTACGGAGTTCTCATGCTCCTCCCTCAAAGTAGCGCATTTGCTGCGTTGAAAAATCGTCTAAACAGCGTCAGCAATATTGGCCTCCTGCATACCGGCCCTCGACTGTAAGGAAAAATTTCATGCTGGTCGCAAGGAATCTGAGCTGACAAAAGACCAGTACGAGCATGGTCTCATCCTCATCATCAGGCTACGAACGCGCCACTGGCAGTCGACTGAAAAACCGCGAAGAAAACACCATCCGGTGGGTCGAACTCCTCGACAAGTTCAAGTCCGTCCAGGAGAAAGCCCGCCGCGCGCAACGTGCCTCACAACGGCAGTTCGACCAGGACGGCAGCACGGCAGGACTAAGAAACCCCTCCCTCACGGCCGCCCTGTCCGCCGCGGCAACAGCCGACAGGGGCAAGGAACGTGGACTGCCGGACACGCCTCGAGGCGGCAGACCGGACATGGGTAGCTCGGGTGGGCGCAATAGCCCCGGAGACTCTGGCACACCTAATCGCGGCTCGCTCCTTAGTGGTACGCAGAGGAATAAGTCGGGGCTTCCTAATCTCGGCCGTTTAGGTATCGGGAGCAGAAGGTCCAAGCGTTGAGAGAAACTAGCGTTGTCAGCGCACAACCTCTGGAGTGCTAAAACATGATGATGCCATTTTCGCTTATCCGCCTCTTTCTCGCACGCATACCCAAGTGTCTGTCAAATGGTCAAGTGGAATGTCGTTGACCCAGGACGGCGTGATTCGACAGCCAGACTATATCTATACCCTCAGTGATATCCATATAGATGAGATTACTTCAGTTTACTTGTCTTTTTATTGCAGTATTTGTGAAACAGCAAGTAGGGTTGTTCATAGCTCTAGGGTGATTTGACTCAAAATATTGGAGCATAAATCCTATGCACAGTTGTCCAGCGCTCGCCACGGGAGAAACTCCATTCCGTATAAGTCATTGCGACGACTCGCTAATTTCGCATGCACACACGTATAATAAAGTAGAGAAGGATAAAAAGTCCAACTATCGAAACTGTAGAAGAAAGTGTAGAGCGCGGAAGTGTCACGTCTTTCAAGTCAAATCTCCAAAAGAGGAAAGGGAAAAGAAGATCATGCAGAGATGGTTGGTAGGCCATGTGATAAATCGGTATAAAGTCAGGTCATTCAACAGGAGTGGCCAAGTCCATTTGGCTTGGATCTAAAATGATCACAGATCACGACTGGGAAGGAAGTAAGGGCGCATGTCTTCTATGTCGCTTCGGGGCGGGCCGTCTGTCCCCATAGAAGAACGCGAGAAAATCGAATAGCAAGCATTCATATGTGATCGGAAACGTCATCATATCCTCCGCACAAACATAATGCCGAGAATATACGCAAATAGGCAGAAGAGAAAGGAAGAGAAAAGCGGCGTCAGATAGGTTCATCACCGCCATCGCGACTCGGAACCAGAACCACCCCAGGTCGGGGTCTTCCAGTAACTGCCAGTTGAATGTTTGGAGACAGTTCCTGTTGGCGAGTTCGAGCCGTTGGAGTAGACATATTCGCCGTCGACGTATTGGACGCCGGAGAATGTGCTACGGTGCTTGCGACGGGCATAGCGCTGCTCTAATCTGTAGAGCTCGATCTCTGCGGATATGACGTTAGGAGACACATTGAGTGGATTCATGGTTGTGTTCAGATGGAGATGGAATTGCTATTCGATAGCAGCGAGAATTCGAATAGACTTACTTGCTTGCAACTTCTCGATGAAACCCATTTTGTCTTAAAGGGACTCGGCTTTGAGTCGTTATCAATCGAAAGGACCGGAGATAAATGCAGTACTCGAATTCAAGACGGGCCCACAGTTATGATAGTCCCCTTCCCAAGGTATATGTATAAATAAAAAGAGGTAGAATTATATATCCAATTCAAGAGGTTGAAGGCAATTGAGAAGTTAAGACAGTACCACTCAGGGGAAGGCTGAGAAAGAAAGTAAGATGAGGAAAAGAGGGGGAAACGGCGATAGGAAGGAATCGAAGAAGAACCCTGGGGAAGAGAGGCTAAACGGGTCGTGGCGCGAAAAGTCTCTTTCAATGAAAGATGTCGAGTCCTCAAGATAGCCAACCCGATAGGACGGTAGGTAGATATCTGATTAATAGAAGAGCCGACGTGATAGTAAGGATATATGAATGATAGTGGGCTCAATAGTCTAGTGTCAAAAAGAGCGATGGCTGGTTGATAGTATGCTGGACGGGAGTATGGCAGCTGCAAAGAATGTGGGAAGCAATACAATTGGTGGTTGAGTGCACGCTAACCACAATGAAGTATGTATCAAATAAACTATTGGCAATGAAAGAAAAAAAGAAAAAGAGGGGAGTATTACTGTAGTCTAGAGAGAAGTAATACTCGGTGGAAAGACACAAGAGAATGACATGCAACCAGATGGGAACAGAGGGAAAGGGGAGTTTGTGAACAACAGGAGAGAGGAGTAGATGCGATACTCGATAGTAGACACACTAGTCAGGAGCAGTACTAGTATCTGTCTATTGACTCGGTACTACTAGTTAGTTCAACCCGCGGCTGCCCAGGCTACGTGCAAAGAACAGGGCACTGTACCTGACTTAGTGAGTGTCTAAACCAGCATGAGCCCAGTCAATCGTGAATTGTAATTTCTAGTGCGGAGTTGGTCATGGGAAAAATAGCGAGAATACGTGGCTCGACGGGGAAAATGACGCGAGGCTAGTTCTGGAATGGACTAGTCAGGGGTCTCAGTTCCACTTGCACTTGGTCCCGCTTACCCCTTTTGGCGTAGTCCAAGGCTCACGAACCCGTTTATGGCCCCAACGCTCTTCCCAAGTCCTTCCAGGCCAACTTCTCGGCCCGTCTGGCGAGATTTTGGCGTTCTCGTTGGTGTATTTGGTGCGACGGACACAAATGGTGCAACGAAAGTACTCCGTATCGCTTGAAACCATGGGGATATTGAGCCGAGCAGGAATAAGTGCGTTGCACTTGGTGGTCTAAAAGCCATGTGGCGCGCACGGATGGAAAGAGGAAAAGATAGCGATAAAGCGAGATTTCAATCAAGAGTTCATTTATCTCGTACATTAGACTGACAGCCATCTTCTTCTAATAAAATTCTCTTAGTGGTTATGATCCCGTCACCACTGACAGCACCCAGGCAGGATTTTTATCTGCTATAGTGACGGTGTTGTCCAGTGTTTTCTAGGTTAGACACTCGATCCCCACGTTGGCTGGAATATGAACGGACTTACCCGCTTCAGCCGTCCAAGACACTCCTTCTGTACAATTTGTCATGGTGGCTATTCCAATGAAACCTTGTCCTCGACGGAATTGGTTGGTTCGTCTTTATTATTATGATGTTTACATACACTCCGCTCGGGAAAAGCAAGCTCAATCAACATGTTGTTTTGTACCCTCGTCTAGTTTAAACAATCATATACGCTGTACGGATCGTATCAATCCAAAATTTATATATGTACATCATTGACCCCATCGACAAGAATCAAAGGAAAGTTGAGAAGCTATTTTACTACTATTGTTGCGCTTTTGGCCCGGGCGCCATATCCCGCTCTTTCGGCTCCACATCGTCACGTTCAGTCTCCCGTTCAAACTCGAGATCTTGTGCTAGAGACATTTCTTGGGCTGCACAATCCATCATTAGCTCCAGTCCAATCCGTATCTTCATATTCCTGCGGAGTACACTCACCATTCCACAGCTCAGCATAAATGCCATTTATATCCAACAATTCTCGGTGGGATCCCGTTTCTGCCACACGTCCATCCTTGAGAACGAGGATCTGGTCGCTGTCATAGATAGTTCGCAGTCGATGCGCCACGAACACACTGGTGCGCTTCTTCTCTTTCAAAATGCTGTTGATGTTTTGCAACAGTGCCTGTTCCGTGTATGTGTCGAGGGCGGAGGTCTATTCTTTCAGTCAGCTATTTCGTAACTCAAAACCAAGCTTGGGTCCTTGAATATCATACCGCTTCGTCAAAGAATAATAGCTCCGGATCCTTCAGAATCAGGCGAGAGATGGCTAATCGTTGCTTCTCGCCCCCGGATATCATCATACCTCTTTCTCCCACCGCAGTCTGATACCCTTCGGGCAATTTCTGAATCAGAGCATCAATGCGTGCTCGTTGCGCGGCCTTGCGCACTTCCTCGTCGGTTGCATCGATTCTTCCATAACGGATATTATGGGCAATAGTGTCATTAAACAATGGCGTATCCTGCGGCACAACTCCAATCGCTTTGCGCAAGCTCTCAAGAGATACATCACGCACATCTTGATCATCAATCAGGATTCGACCCTCCTGGACATCATAGAATCGGAATAAGAGTCTCAGGATAGTAGACTTGCCGCATCCACTAGGGCCCACGATAGCAAACTTCTGTCCTGCAGGAATTGTGAAGCTAGCGTTCTTGAGGATAGGACGGTCGGGATGATAGCCGAAAGTGACGTTTTCAAACCTGATTTCGCCTCCTTTGTGGAGCTGGAGCGGTTTGGCGTCGGGCTTCTCCTTGATATTGACGTTGACCTTTTGCAGATTGAACAGCGTCTCCATATCTAGCAAAGACTGACGGAGTTCACGATACACGGATCCGAGGAAGTTAAGTGGCACCGAGAGCTGAAAGACGAGCTGATTGACCATGACCAGGTCGCCAACCGTCAAGTTTCCGTTGGCGACTCCGTTGGCGGCAAGATACATCATTGCGGCCAGCGCGCTCGAGAATATCATATTTTGGCCGGAATTCAGAAAGGCAAGAGACGTCGTCACCTTGATGGAGGCATCCTCATAAGCCTTGAGTGCCTTATCGTAGCGCGCCACCTGATACTGTTCGTTATTGAAGTACTTGACAGCTTCATAGTTGATCAGCGAATCGACAGCCACCGTCGCTCCACGGTTATCAGCCGCATTAGCCTGTTTTCGAAATTTGGTTCGCCAAGCAGTAGTTGTGATGGTGAAGGCAGTGTATGCCACCATCGTTACCGCTGTGATTGCAGCAAATTGGAATCCGTATTGGTATGTCTAGCACTATTAGTCGCCGGGCAGTCCTGCCTATGATCAATTACCGCGACTTACCAGGATACCGCAAACGAGCGAGATTTCCAGAGCAGTAGGTACCACATGGAAAACCATGGATGTCAGCAAGAAGCTGATACCTTTTGTTCCCCGATCAATTGCTCTTGTTAATCCACCAGTCTGGCGGCTGAGGTGAAAGTTGAGATCCAACCGCAGCAAGTGCTCAAAGACATTCCGTGCAACCCTCCGAATTGCTTTCTGAGCCACGCTCGCGAAGACAGCGTTGCGAAGCTCTTGAAATAGAGTAGCGCCGATTCGGGTAGCTCCGTCTAAAAAGCGTGTTTGTTAGAGTTTATTGTATAATTAGACTCCAAGCAGCTATCGCTTACAGGCAATAATCATCGAACCAGCCACAGTGTATGCTGTTCCGCCGACAGTTGCGAAGTCGATATTCATTGAATCCACGATGCTTTTGAAATAGAAGGGAACTTCCACGTTCAAGATCTAGGCCCCCTTTGTGAGCTGTCGCTTGATCATTTTGTGCTTCAAAGACCTCTTACCTTTGCTCCAACCAACAATGAGAGCGCTGTTCCGACACGAAGTTTGGTTCCCCAGTCATCCTGCATTATACACAATCAATACCCATGTATTCCTAGAACATGAAGGCCCCACGATGCCATACCTTTGGCCAGAGGTACTTGGCCATTTCCTTTATGATAGCCCAGTCTGCCTTCCTTTGTTCCTTGGTCGCAAGCGTCGTTTCGCTGAGGAGGTCTTTCTTCGCGGTCGTCGCATTTCGTGCATCTTTCGGTGGGTTCACACTGGCGGATGCCGGGTTAGGTATGGGGCTCGCAGTCTTCGATTTCGATGCAGGGTCTTTAGGTGCCTCCTTCCTCAACGGGCCGTTGGCTGAGGTAAATGCTTTGAATTGTAAACCGTAGCAAGCGGTGGCCCACAGCACTGTGCGCGGTGCGGCGAGACCACCGCGGGCGAAGCGCCTGGGGAGACGCAGGCATGGCGATCGAGCTGCTCCGGGCAGCATTATGGCCGTAGATCCTATCTGACGACAGTCTTCACTTCGATATATCGTCAAGAGACCATCATAGACGTGTGTTCTTGGGTGTAAATAGCTCGCTGGCCATGCAAACCGCCGGGTTCGGAGGTTGAGCTCGGCGGGGACAATCTGCGTGCTCGTGAGGTACTCCCGGATTCAGTTACCCTCTCGGCACGAGATACTACTCTGCTAGATCTAATCAACAACTTTTGTGGGAGCTCAAGAAAGATAATAACAAAACATAAGGAGACCTTAAAGACATTTGAAGCACGTAATGGCAGAGATAGCATCAGCATACGTTGCTCTGTCGCAATCGCCAATTCGCTTCTCCGGTAATTACCCATGAGCGCTTGTAATACAGACAACGCAATTTCTCCGCAATGTCTTTTCAGATCTATTAAGTGCTTATAATCGGTTATGCTTGATTGAGTAGAAATCCACCGAGAGAGAATGAACATCTTTTTCCTACTGCAAGATATCATATCCAAAGTTTGGAAATAAGAAGGTGAGTGCAGGTGTATCGCGTAGCAGGGATCTTTTTCGCATGTGACATCACAGGACCGCATCAGAGGAAATGTTTTCACGCTTTTGGTGGGTACACAACAGTATGTGCTTGACTTGCTTCATCAGTAGAAGCAATTGAAAGCTCATAAGTCCATCATCAAGCTCCTAGATATCTACTCAAAGAATTCCCAGCGACATTCGGTCTTACGCTCATCGAAGAGCAATCTCCAAGGCGGTGTTGAGTTCCAGCCAAACGCTTTACCCAATTGGGAATCTTGAAATCCGGGCAATCGAGAAGCGTCACTCACGGCCGGCCCCATAGTCAGACCCTCGCTTTTCAGCAATACGTCTTGAATATTTGCTGTAGGTTCAAGGATGAGTCAACCCTTGAGAGGAGGTGTTCGGACTCTATCCTCCATCCGAGCCGGCCCTCCGCGGGTGCGACAGGGTGTTGCATCGCTTCCCCGATGGCAGACAAGATGCGTCCAAATCCGCGCGGCGCCTTCTGAGCGACCAGGTGCAGTTAATGGGGATCAGCTCGCCATTATCGACACACCAAGCTCAGCAGAATCAGCGGGTATGTGCTTACAGAGATAATGGCGCCATTTGCAATTGTCTTGAGCGCAGACACCCTCGCTAACAGCGTTTGAGACAGATGCGCGATTCGAGGTCATTGGCGCACCCTACTCCTTGCTCTCAGTTTCGCTTTCCGCTTCACAGAATCTTTATACTCGACGAGGGACACTGGTTGGATTAAGTGGGAAAGCAGACAACGTATGGAGAAGACCAGTCATTTCAGCGCTTTCGCTGAGGTCACCCTGCTGACTGCTCTCGGCTTGATTTGCAGGTGGTTTCAACATTAAGCATTCTTGAGCCTTTCCGAAGAGCCGCCGTCGGCATACCATTTCTCTACCAGAAGGTCTGGACTTATAAGATAACTTCCGCGAAGGAGTCATTGCTGAAATTGGGCAGGTATCGTCGGCGAGTCCAGTAACGGCGTTGGTCTCCGTTCGATCCCCAGTCACCTCTTTCACGGTTGTCCGCCTCGATGGTTCGGTGGACTGGATGATTGCTCAAAGACGAGCATTGCTCGCCTGGACCGGTCGCACTCTCACTGTCCGGCCAACGATCAACACAAACCTGGTCCGCAACCCTACCTTTATCTACGCGGGAAGACTGCGCTAACTTGAGCAGAGCTTGGCCCACTGGGGTAGCTCAGAGGTGACGGGGCGAGGGCTGCTAGCACTGGTTGGCGCGGGTCAATTATACTCAGTCGAGTTAAAGGCAGGGGAACAATACATTGTACACCCCAGGTATGCATGCCTCTCTTCTTTGACATATGTGCATATAGTTCTAACCCACAGTAGTAATGTGGTGGCCTACACAATGACCTCCAGCCCACCACGGCCATACCGTTTCAAATCGACTACCCTGAAATTCCAGGTTCCAGGGCTGAAGAGCCTGCCGAATATCTTCCAGAACTCCAAGTTCATTCGGGACATGGCAGACTCAGACACATGGAAGACGACAATGAACATACTGCACAAGGTTCGCACATGGTCGCGAATGACCATCTGGGGAGACAGAGTATGAGCCCACCTGCAATCGTCTTCACGCCCTGAACTAACCGTACATGTGACCAGCTTTTCCTCCAATTCGACGGCCCTACAAAGATCCTCTTGCAAACCCGTGGACCTCGTATCAATGATATCATGTCTGCCCGTGAAATCAACGAGATCGCCGATACGCCGAGAGGACTGACCTTCGACCCTACAACTTCTGCTAAACAACCAAGGGTAGATGGAGAGGAATTCAGAAACGTCGCTCACGACGCTGTCCATGCAGGTCCCGGACCCTCGCGGACAATCGAGGAACTGGAAAACGAGATGAAAGGGATAAGCCAGAGTATCGCGACGCTCACAAAGGAGGGAAAAGTTATCATTGAAAAGATTGCTGAGAAGAAGTAAGGTGCAGTGTTGTTATGCATAAATTCAACAGCAGCTCAATTGGGGGATTTCCATCTCGCAAATTCGATGTACTATAGAACAAGACAACTATCTTCGTGCGATGCTTACGAGCCTTCCCTACCTCTGAAGGGCGTGATTTTGAACCATTTTGCCATTGTGCCTTATACCCACTCGAGCTGATCATGCGTAAGCCAAAAGAGCCAGTAACTTATCGAGCAAGTTGCATGCCTTGGCCGGTGATAAGGGATCAACAGCCAGAAGAAAAATGAAAGGATCTTGGCTTCGAACAACCTCAGGACTCGACATACATACTCTTGCAGGATCAATAAGGTCAATATATGTTGCGTTTTGTTCCAAGAATACTGCTGTCCCGGCTAGTCGCGTACAGATAACGTGAAGCTTTGACTGCTACTCTTCTGCTTCGAAAGCTTATTTTTGCAATCGGTCAACAACGTGCTCGCCAACAAGTGGATGTCTGATCAAGGGTTACGCAGAAAGAGTATGTTTGATGCATATTATTTCACATATGACGTCAATTGCTGAGATGCTTTGACGTCTCGACTAAGCGAGGCAGGTGCCTCATCTCTGTATTCCAAAGCTACGGAAATTATCCTCGCGTGCGGAGTCACTCTCCGTCGTATTCCGCGCTTCACCAAGGACCAGAGCCTGGCCTGCCGTCCAAGCCTTGAGTCCATGTTCGACATATGGCTAGCGGTGGCTGTTGGCACCATCTGCCGCAATGTGATGCGAATACTGCGAAAGACAATTGGCGAATGAGGGGGTCTATTAGACGATAAAGACCTAAAGACCATCCTCTAATCCTGTTGAGAGTAGATCAAAAGAATCAACCAGAGCAGATGACCTCACTTGGCAACTGTCCTCGCCTCGCTCGTAAAGGATAGCGAAGCGTGCCGGGCGAACCTGGTTCATCTGGAGACTCTTTACTTGGGCTTCTGGTTCTGGTACGCTTTGAGCGCTTTGGCTGGCAGCTTACAAGAAAATCGTCATCACTGTAATGAGCTAGGCTCTCTTCGGGCTCTTCGTAATCTTCGTCAGATTCAGCAGCTTGCCGTTTAGTGCCTGCACATGCTGGCTGTTTCTTGATCGACAAGATGCTTCCGAGGCCGGGTTTGTGCGCTGAGGGCGCATGGCCAGTGAGCTCTGTGGTCTGGTGCTCGCGCTGCCTGCTCTGAATGCGCTCTTTCAGAGTGGCAATCTTGGTCGCGAGTTTCTCGTTCTTTGGAAAGAAAGGGAGCGCCAGCTGATACATTTTCAGGGCCGAAAAGTCCTCCCCTCGCGCCTGATGTTGCTTGCCCATGAGTAGGTACGAAAGTCCTTCGGCTCTAGCGTCCTCTGTGCCTTCAATCCGCTGCTCCAGTATTTCCAGACGTTTTTGCAGTTGTTCATTCATCTCACAAACTTGACTCTGCTTCGATTGCTCACGCGCGGCAAGAATCTCCTCAACCTTCTTCTCGACCATTTCTTCAATCATTGCTGTGGAGATGTCTTCCGGCCGCTTGCTTGGCAGAGATGTCTGCGCGACCCGAGTAGTCTTCGATGTTCGGTTCGGCTGTGCTCCGTGAAGCTCAGAACTTAATGAAGACCTCTCAGGCCCATCAGCTCGTTTGAATTGCGCTGAATTTCTAGAATGGGACTTGTCCGAGTATACGTGGAACGCTTTCACCAGCTTGCCGTCACCAGGCTTCGATGTATCTTTGTTAGTTGGTACAGTCAAGTTGACATTAACGGAGGCCGTCAATGGCCGGAGAGGCTGCCGCTGAGAATTTGCCGTTGAGGCTCGTGCCACGACCCTCGGTGGTCCTTTGAACATAGGCTCATTCTCCACTTCGCGAACTTCGATCTTCTTGGTACGGTTTGCGAAATTTAAAGAGCTGAGGGTATCTAGGTGATAAGACTTGATTGGCGCGAGGTTGAGGATCATGACAGTCAAGCCATTGTTCTGGCCCAAGGATAATATCCTCGTCATTTTCGATTCACGATATGGAATTCGTTGGTGTTTCTTGCTGATCGCTTCTACGCATTGCGCGAGAACGAAAAGACTTTTGTTAATACTGGCCGATTCAACCATGCGTTCCTTGTCGTTGTCCGTCCGGCGGTTATCCTCTGAACCAGCAAGGTCAATAGCAGATGCAGTGCTAACGCGAACCTTGTCACCGGAGCTGATGGTCACTTTCACACACAGAATGGCGTGCGATCGGGATGAGTGAGCATTTAACTATAACAAAGTTAGCCTCGCCTCACGTATCCTGGTTTCGGAAGCCATGTCTATTGACCTTTGTTGCAGATGTAGATCTGTTGATATTTGCATGGTCGTACAGGCTCTCAAATTCTTTCAGGCTGGTGCACGGTTTTTCCGTCAAGCCTACGACTACAGTCTTCCCGCCATTGTCCCGAAGAGGCAACCCTGCTAGTGTCCTCTTCTCTGGGGGTTCGAACAGATCGAAGACTTTGTCATTGTAGATCTCATAGTAGCTCAAGGCAACCTTGACAGTTGTTTCTCCTTCGCTGTCCTTCTCGATCTTCCGGCTGCGTCTGTATATGCTACTCAGAAGACGCGGAATAACACCCCTCTCAGCCAGGCTTTTACCACCTCGCATAGTATGTGTTTTCCCCGTTCCGGTGACCCCATATGCAAATATTGTGACATCGAAGCCGTTGAAGAGGTGCTTGACTGTGGGAGCAACTGAAGGAATAACGTCAGTCTATCGTGGCGGTCAAATCAGAGAAACGCATAACGAACCCTCGGCATCATAAAGCTCCTGTTGCGAGGCATCTGCATCATAAACGGCATTGAACTGGAAAGAATATTCCTCGTTTTCATTCTTGGGATTGGGGATCCTGACAATTGTGTCTCGGTCCCTCAGTTTTGCAACCGCCGAATTACCCCGGGAGCTCTTCTGGTCGCCCTTTGGCGGTAAAGTATGACTTGACGGACCAGTGCGAAGAATTACATCTTGCTCACGTTCCGCTTTCAAAAGTGGCCTAACACGGGCCACTACCCGAACACTCATATTATTATGTGTTTAGGTGCTCGTTTTTATCGGGCCTTCTCGTTCTGAAAATGTGGTTCCCACGCGATTGGAAGTACCGTCGATCGAGGTCTGAGTTAATAGTTCGACCGTTTTCTTCCTCCAATTCAGAATAAACTAGAGGTGGCCTCCAGAGTTCCTAGGTTTCGCATAGCAATGAGGTGCTCGAATCACCCCGCGAATGGATGGACGATGAGGTAGGAGAATATAATTCCAGTCGGAGCAAGGTGAAGATACGTTGGACTCAGTAAATCAAAGACAAAAACCCACAAACTAAAGCCAATTGACCACGATCAGAGCGAGAAAGAAACCGGCGGTTAGCGAAATACGCTTCACTGCAATAATGGACCCGCTAAGCACCTTTGGACTGAGTTGCTGTTAGAGAGGTTACTTATTCGGCCGTGCTCTTGGAAGATAGGCAGGGATGTGCTCACCTGGGTCAGGTGCTGTTGGCACGGCAACCTCGCATCGCGTCTCACTAGTACAAGGGCAGACATGGGGAATATCCATGTCAGTGCGATTTGCAGTTAGACAGGTAGGGGTCAATTAATTGAATCAGGAGTTTTTAGTACTCTGTAATGTCTTTTACAGGTACGGAGTAGTAATCTCCATTTCAATCCGAGACAAACATTGGCACACTCCATGATTACCTACTGCTCATTGATCTCAGTTGATAATCCAGGTATACCTCTACTCCTGGCCTTCACATAGAACTGAGCAGCTGCTTGCCTCGTTTGACCCATGTGTAAGCACTGCGACGCAGGTTTTGCAATCAGATTAATGGTGGAAATTTGAATTTCTCGAGTACTAGAGGTATGGCTGTGAAATCAGTTTTGGAGTTAGAAGAATATATATATAATTCAAACGCGGCAGGTGTCAACCACCTGTAATGGAAGTCGAGTCTTATAGGGAACCCAATATCTATACGAAAAACACCATGCTTAAATGCATCTCAGTTCCTCAGGTCATCTCTTTACCTGTGGCGATGCCAGCTTCATCTATGTTCCATTGCGTATCGAGACAATCCCTAGCGATGTACGGAGACTCCCTATGAGATCATCGCTAATACCCCGGACAACTCATCGATCATGTCAACAACACAGCAACGTCGGACAGACTTCCGAGAATGGTAGAATTGTAGATATTTCTGCTACTCAGCTCCCAATCTAGGACCATACCACCCGATAATTATATCCGGAGCAGGTGTTTGTCATTTATTGGGGAAGCTGGATTGTTTTGGTAGACTGTGAACTTCGGCTAGACTCGTGGGGTCTGATTGGTCCAAGGGGAACAGCAGCCGCAAAGGCCACCGTACACCATCCATTTCGAAAGAACCTCCATTATCTACCTACAGCTATCCCAAAATCTGCCATAACACGTCAACTGCATTCGTGTGCGGCATCTGCCTATGATACCTTGGGTTCGTATTCCACATTTGTCTGAAGTGTGACCCTGCTTGTTGGTACGCGGATTGCCCCGAGTCTTTGATCACCCCCCCGCCCCTCGCTCGAACAAGTGCTGACTAGTAAGGTTGTGAAGCTGTGACAAGTTGCGCGACCATTCCAGATCCCCTTTGCCTACGCCCTCGGAAGTCGCACGGATTGAACAACATAATATTACTCATACACAAAGAAGTCACGCGTCGTCCTTCATGGCATCACCACAAGGGGGCTATCCTCCCCAGGAAGGGTACGGTCAACCTGCCGGTTATGGGTCTCCCACTCAGCAACACGCCGGCATGGCCGCCGGAGCTCCCCCCCAGGGTCATGCAGGTGGTAAGAAGAAGCGAGCATATGCTGGGGAAGCCTTTGAAATTGGATCTGGTGCCAATGCTGCTCTTGGGGGACAACTCCCCGCTGGTGGCAGTTACGGTGCATATCCCCCTCAGCCGCAGGCTGCGGGATATCAACAACCTGTATATGGGGCGGACCCAAGTCAGATGAATGCAGC